AGGATTCTTTGGTCTGGTGTTTGGAACATACTGGGTTAAATGAAGTCAAATGGACTTTTTTTTGAGATAGAGGGTTTTGCTCTGTCTCCTGGGGTACAGTGCAGTGGTGTCATCACAGCTCACTACAACCTCAAATTCCTGGGTTCTCCTGCCTCAGCCTCCCAAGTAGTTGGGACTATAAGCACGTGCCACTGCATTCAGCTAACTTCTCTATTTTTGTTTTGTAGAGACAGGGTCTCGTCTCACCCTTGCTCAGGCTGGTCTCCAACACCCGGCCTAAAGCGATCCTCTTGCCTTGGCCTCCCAAAGTGCTAGGATTACAGGCATGAGCCACCATCTCTGGCCTGGTTTTTTTACTATTAGGTAACTCATGGACTTAAATTCTCAGGCCATTCATTTCAACCTTAATAGCAATGGCATGGCTCCTGTCTATGGTTTGATTTGGGGTAGGACTGACTGTACAGTTGGACCCAGATGAAAATGACTAAAGGCTTGCTTTTTTCATCATTCCAAAATCCAGCCAGAAATGTTTTAGGAGTACTAGACAAATGGCAAAATGTGATGCAGTGGGAAACACATCGGTCATACCTAAGTTCAGTCCCAAGAGACCAGGGGCAAGATAATTGCCTTATCTGAATCTTAGTTTAGGTATAAGAATGTGGAGTTTAATGATCTTTACATATGGCTGTTGTGAAGATTAAATGAGGTACATATAAAATCATTCCATGAAGTGTTATGCAGATGTTAGCTAACAAATGATATTTTAGTCTTCTGCATTCAGCTTAATTTAATGTTCTCTCCCAGTAATATTTCCATGCTTATTTTAACTTTTTAAACTTTTAACTGTGAAATAATTTCGGACCAAAGTTAAAAGCACTTAGTTGTCAGGACATCTTGGTTTCCTTTATCTGGGACAGTTTCTCAAGTCTTGGTCTTTCACTATCTTCATAACTTTGAAGATTACAAGTCAGATATTGTGCAGAAGTCTTCAATTTGGGTTTGATTTTTCTTCTCATGGTTAATACTAGTATTTTGATGGCTTGCTTTTTCATGTCATCAGGGATAGTATACTGACGTAAATATAATGTCCTAGGTAAGTGCAGACTCTCGTCAGAATACCTGGGCTCAAATTCTGGCTCTACCGGACTGTGTGACTTTGAGTTTTTTTGTGACTCAGTTTCCTCATCTGTCAGATGGAGAAATGTCAGTATCTATCTCCTAGTGTTGTTGGGATTATTACAGGAGTGAAATAAATATATATAAAGTGGTTAGAACAGTTCCTGGCACATAATAATTGCCATATAAGAGTTAGCTAATATGAGGAGTGGTTTTGGCAACTGATGAAGAGACCAAAGAAGCAGCAGGTCTTATAGCTATGTATATCCTTTGCTCATTCCTGCCCAAAGATCCAGGGCCAAAGCCTTTCTACCAGCAGGAATTTTGGCCTATCAAGTGGTGCATTGTTCCTTTCAGCCACAGGCATGCTTCCAGCATTTGCTCCCAAGGCCCATGAAAAGAGGACATGATGGATCCATATGGCAACATTTCTTCAGCACAGTATGTCCACGCACTAAAAACTGAGCCTATGTCTCCTTGCACATCAGTTGCCGGGAAAGTTGTGTCAAATTAATAAAAAAAAAAAAAAAAAAACATTCCCAGGTATTTTATTTTCTTTGCAGCTATAACAAATATGGTATTGAGTTCTTGAATTGACTCTTAGCTTGACTGTTATTAGTATACAGAAATGCTACTGATGTGAACATTGATTTTGTAACCTGAGATGTTGCTGAATTTATTTATCAAGGAATATACTTAAGGAGGTGAAAGACCTCTACAAGGAAAACTACAAAACACTGATGAAAGAAATCATTGATGATATAAACACATAGAAAAACATTCCACGCTCATGGATTGGGAGAATCAACATTGTTAAATGTCCATAATGCCCAAAGTTGATTTACAGATTCAACATAATTCCCATCGAAATACCATCATTTTTCACAGATCTAGAAAAAATAATCCTAAACTTCATATGGAACCAAAAGAGAGCCCAAATAGCCACAGCAATCTTAAGCAAAAAGAACAAATCTGGAGACATCACATTACCTGACTTCAAATTATACTATAAGGCTATAATAACTAAAACAACACTGTACTGATATAAACATAGATACACAGACCAATAGAACAGAATAGATAACCCAGAAATAAAACCATATAGCTATGGCCAACTGATTTTTGACAAAGCAGAAAAAAACTATACACTGGGGAAAGGATGTCCTATTCAATAAATGCTGCTGAGGAAATTGGATAGCCACATAGAGAAGAATAAAACAGGATCCTTACCTCTCACCATATATAAAAATTAACTCAAGATGGATTAAAGACTTAAATGTAAAGAACTGAAACCATAAAAATTCTGGAAGAAAAAGTAGGAAATCTCTTCTAGATATCTGCCTAGGCAAAAAGAATTTACAACTCAGACCCCAAAGGCAAATACAGCAACAACAAAAATAAATGAGACTTAAGAAGTTTCTGCACAGTAAGAGAAACAATCAACACAGTAAACAGACAACCTAGAGAATCTGAAAAAATATTCACAAACTATACATACAAGAAAGGACTAATATCCAGAATCTACAAAGAACTCAAACAAATCAGCAAGATTAAAAACAAATAACCACATCAAAAAGTGAGCAAAAGACACATAGTTTTTTTGAAAGATAGACAAATGGCCAACATATGAAAAATGCTCAACATCACCAATCACCAGAGAAATGTCAATTAAAATCACAATGAGACACCACCTTATCCCTATCAGAATGGCCATTATTAAATACTCAAAAAACAATAGATGTTATGAAAAATACAGCAGATATACTGTTTCTGGGACTGTTAATTAGTACAACATCTATGGAAAACATTATGGTGATCACTCAAAGAACCCAAAGTAGACCTACCATTCAATCCAGAAATCCTACTACTGGGTATTTATCCAAAGGAAAATAAATCATTTTATCAAAAATATGCCTGCACTTAAATGTTTACTGCAGCACAATTCACAATTGCAAAGATGTGGAATCAACCTAAATACTCATCAATTCATGAGTGGATAAAGAAAATGTGGTATACACGCACACACACACACACCATGGAGTACTACTCAGCCATAAAAGGGAATGAAATAATGCATTTTGCAGCAACTTGGATGAAACTAGAGACCATTATCCTAAGTGAAGTATCTCAGGAATAGAGAAACACACACCACATGTCCTCACTAATAAGTAGGAGCTAAATAATGGATATAAAGTGTTGTAAAGGATATTGGTAATTAAGAAGGGGGCAGGGTGGGAGGGAGGTGAAGGATAAAAACTTACTATTCTGATGACAGGCATACTAAAAGCCCTGACTTCAGGATTATATAATTCATCCACGTAACAAAAACACTTGTATCCCCTTAATATTCAGAAACAAAAATAAAAATAGAAATTTAAGAAAATTTTAAAAAGTTTAAAAATAAAAACAATTTTTTAAAGTTGCAAAATAATTAAGCCACCATTTTTCCTGAAAACCATTTCCAGAAACCAGGCCTTCAGGTTTCATTAGTATATAACCAGCACTTCACCCATGAGCACACTCACTGAATAACCATAGTGATAACCTCAGCCCCTAAGCTTTGCCTGTGCTCCTTCCTTGTTGAGGGGGCCAACCCACAAGATCCACTGTATTGGCCAATCCTGGGCAGACTAATCATTAAGGTACAGATGAAGCTCCTCACAGGGCTGGATAGGGAAGGGGAAGGAAGCCTGAACAGACTGATACCGAAAAGCTAGAAAGCATGCAAGACATCTGAAAATGTGGTAAATGACAACTGTTCATAAAAAAGTCAAATAATAAAAACCATTTAATATAAAAACAACAATGCTTACATCTGAATAGCCAGTGACACTTTACAAAGCAATTTTAATCTTTTAACTTATTTGCCATGCTCCAACACAATTTTACAGGTGAAAAGAAAGAGAACTGAGAGAAAAATGGGTCTAGGCAGCAAACCTGAAACTTTAATTCAGGTCTTGCCTCTGAATACAGCACATTTTCCACTCAACAATAAAAGAAGAACATATGCACTAAATACAGGTCAAAGACCAACAGGATTACAAGGTTTCCAAAACATAGAGACTAAAGTGTAAAAATGCAATGCAACCATCTTCAGTGAAACTTTGGTTTCTTGGCACTTAAGAACAGCAAGATTTTTTAAGAAAAGGACTTTCACAAGGTCTTAGGTGCAGGCTGACCAATGTAAGGATAGGCAGTGGGGGTGGGTTGTGGGGGAAAGGTATGTACACACACACCTTTGGACCAAATATCAAACAATTGTGAAATCTCTTCATATTTGGCTACTTAAGAATCAAACTATTTCAATGGGCTAGAGACTCAGACCACACAGACCATACTGTTGTGGCCCGACTGCAGGACAGGGGATGGACACATAAAGACATAGACATAAAATGCAGACACAAGAATTGGCTGCAGTCCCAGAAAAAGCACACAGACACAAAGATGGTTTAAGACTGCAGCGCTTAAAGTACCAGTCGTTTTATTTTTATACTGTTTAATTGGGCAAGCGTCCCACGGCTATTTTTTCATGCCAGCTATTTTCCCAGCTACTTTTTGGTATGTGACTTCCCACGGGCCAACAGCACCTGTTCCTCTAGACATAGAACAAGAAATGCCCTTCAACGTTTGATACCGTTTACGGATAACAAGACGCCTGGCTTGGTTGCATAGCACAAGAGAAGATGTTTACATTCTCTCTTCTACAATCTGGTACCCCGTGCGAATAACAGACAACCTTGGCTCGCATGTGAAACCACAGGTCTTTGGCCGTCTGCAAAGTCTGGTCCTGCGTGCAGGATAACAGACAACCTTGGCTTGCATGCGAAACCACAGGTCCTTGGCCATTTGCCTGGAGGAACAGTTCTCTCTGCTGGTCAAGAAGTCACGTCCTGCTAATTGTGGGAACAAGCAATGTGCTCCTGTTCTGCTGGCTTTGGGTCTCGGCCAATCTGACCTAGGGACGTCTCCTTCACCATATATCACACTACCTCCGATGTGTGGGCAGCAGCAAGCACATTGCCAAATACACAGTAGACTTTTAATACATATTTGCTGATTTGGCTGGATCTATGCAGTAACAACTTATTAAAAACTCCCACAAATATCTTACCCTCCCCACATCAGGTATTGCCACAAAATATCAGCTGAACCCACATAGAAATAGTCAACCTTTTGTGAATGGTATAGGTCAAGAGGAAATCAGAAACTTATTTCCTATCACCAAATTGCTACCATATTATTCTGATATGAAACTGAGGCTTCCCAAAAAAGAGGCTGAAATATCAATCATATCATACCAAAGTTTATTGATTACATAAAACAAAAAATTCTGTAATGAAAAAGGCAAGTTGCATTCATAAAAGATGGCATTCACATTCATTTTAGAAAGCAACAACATAGATATAAAAAATTGCTTAAGTGAAAAAATGTAATATTGCAGTCCTGTTTTGCAAGCTGAAAAATGACTTTGTCAACATTTGCATAAAATCTGCACATTTATATACTGCATGTTATTTAAAAATCCCATCACTAAATTATATGAATTTTGCAAATTTAGGCTTACATTGATACTGTCGCTGGTGTATATGTGGTAGGTATGGAATGAACGCTTTCGGTTTAGTAGGTAACATCCTCAAACAATGAACAACAGTTGTGAAAATTACAAGGACATTTTGATAGCTCAAAATTATGGGTATATGATCCTATTATTATATTTCCCCCCTTTCTCTGTCATAAGTAGAATGGTTAGATTGTAGTGCTTAGGAATACTAGATGGCTTATTTCAAGTTATTTCATCTGCTAACCCCACAACAGCCACGTTTTAGGTTTTTAATAAAATATCTTTCAAAAAGGAAAGCCAGGTCCCTCTCAAGTATCTATATCCTGCTATGACATATCATTGCCATTCTGAATTTGAGCTGTAGTATACAGTGTAATGTGTAGCTGAGGCATGATTCTAAATCCCTCTTACTCCTCATCTCACTCTTTTTCTGGCTGAAATTTTACATGCAACAAGTTATATTTCTACTACCCTGGATATTCTGATTATGTCAACTCCCCAATGGTTCTGCATTAAATAAGCTTCTCTATTGTGGCTCTCCTGTTTGTATTCACAGTCCCTATAGTTCTTACGTAAAACAACAATACAGCTATAATAACTATAAGAAGATAAGAACAACAACAAAATATCAAAAGCTTTCCTGGGTTAGACATTTTAGCTCTTTGGAATAGGCAAAGAATATAAAGACTTTGTTTTCAGCAGCTTATCTCAAATACAGGCTACCAGAACAGAGAGCACATTTACATAAGCTGTGAATGACATTTCACAAAATATTCAAAAATAATACTGATAGATGAGAATAAATGAAATAATGAAAAAGAGTCACTAATGATGGAATAGGTTTTGATAACTGAAATAATGTCTTTTCTGGAATTTAAGAAAAATTACACCTAAACATTAACACAAAATATATGTGGAAAAATCAAATGTGCCACATGGACTATATAAATATATCGATACAGATGGACTCCAATACTTTTCCAAATCAAGGTACAATATAAACATTAATAATAGTACAGGCATGCCAGAAAGACAAACAAATGAAAACTGGTATGAAAATATTTTTAAAGGCCATTTCAATGTAGCAGTCAAATATGGTTATTTATATATCCAAAAAAGTGTATAATTTTAACACTGAATAAATACATTTCACATTTATTTTATATTTTAAGTGAACTCATTAGGAGGCTAAAACCTCCTTTTAGTCCAGTAATCCAAGGACTTTACCAAGGTCAATCTCATGGTTTAGAGTTAGACCATTGCCCTGGCTCAACTTAGCTACAAGAGACAACAACATTCATGATCATAGAGTCATGGCTCTACAGGCTAAACCACCATTTTGGGATGGATCCCTCCTCTTCCCAAATTGGGAAGTTTAAAAAAAAAAAAAGTGCCAAATATATGCATAAATGCAACCGTTTTCAAATAAAAACCGTTAACAGTTTAAAATAAGCTATTCTTCCTTCCTTTCTACATAAAGTTATAAAAGGTTGATATTCAGATTGGCCTTTATTTTTGTGTAACTATGGTTTGACCCACCTTACCTATATCCAGTAAAACTGACTTCGGAAAAATCGGTTCGTTACCTAACTATTTTGAGGGGCTGTCTTGTGATTGGAAATGTTTGACACTTTATTTTCAAGTCTAGTAGCCTTATACCTACAAGTGGGGATTAATTCAGAAGAACAAAAATAAACAAATATTTTTCACTCCCACAAAAATACCTGGAGTTAATACTTTCCACGTAAGTGTTCAAGGTATTTTTTGGCAAGGATATTCTACCAAGACACTTTGCGTGTAGGTGAACAGAAAGGATTGACTACTCTGATTCACTGATGCCATTTAGTCCTTCTGTATTTTCAAGTATTCCTTACACATGTATGAAAAAATAATTTAAGATGATTGTTCAGCAGAAATGAGAAATGCGATCCAAACAGCCTATTTCTTCTGCCAGGCAAAAAAGTAATATTAGCAAAATCTATTCATTCTCATTGCATAACTTCTACTTTATACTACTGTATTTAAATCCATTCACAAAGTTCATGGGTTAAAAGAGCACCCATTTGGTAGTTATATTATCCTGTCTAAAACCAGAATTATAAGTATTCTTGCTTTCAACTTTCATATAATTCTTAACTTACAGCTTCGGCCATAAAGGCTACTTACAATAATTATAAATATTTATGGGAATCACTTGGTATTTTAACAAACATTTATTCTGAACCCTAGACATGAGAGTGGTTTAGTTTGTTGCATATTCGAGTATCCTGAGATAACATTTTGTAGTTTTCTTCATGCTTTCTTTTTTAGCTGTAACCACTGTCAATATGCTTGTAGAACAATAACATAGGCAGTTCAAGATTCGGATTCTGAAAAATTTAAAATATACAGAGTTAAAGGGTTTATTTTAATAATAATGTGAAACCATCTGTTTAGCATTTTCAAAAATAAATCAAGTAGTAAATTTTGTTATGAAAGTAAAGCAACTATCTTAACAAAGTGCCAAGTTTTATTCACATGCAGGGGGAAAAAAGAGTGAACTATAACCAGATTTTAATCCTTTCTCCATTTATCAGCTGAATAGATCCAGGCTTGCTTTTTGCTTTTGGATTGCTCCAGGGCTCTCCTAATACTTTTTACCACTGGGATTATCTACCATAGCAGAGGTGTAGCTTGCTATGATCTTTCCTCTAGGCTGGGAGCTCCTTAAAAACAGGGATATTTTATTTATCTATCTCTAGCACCTAGTACACTGTCCAGCACATAGCAGATGCTCAGGAAATGTTGAATGAATGAATGGGTTACCTTTTTTTGGATGAGTTTGAAGATATATTCAGTTTTGGAAGATTACTGAGAAAATATCTTCCTTTACTGAAAGTAGCATGTCCCCCCCCCCATAATATTGAAGTTAATTTTCTTGTTGGTAGATCATGTATCTATGAAGTCAATTGACTCTGCTGTTTTTCTTACGCATTGTCTTTTCAGAAGAGAAACAATGAAAATTTCCCTAACGAATCTGTATATTCTTCTCTGTCCTCTAAACAGCATCAAATGTTGTGATCAGGATGGGGCAAGAAAGATAAACTGATCACCAAGTATAATTCAGTATGTTGGGAGGGGCAAGTCATATGTCAAGGAAGGGAGCCTAACTTTGATTCCCTACTCTAAAACTCAACTGTTTTGAATCTGAGTAGTAGAAGGACTTAAATAGTGTGCTATTTTCTTCCCATTCTGAGATGCTTTCCTTGTCATAGTTGGACTAAAAGTCCATTAGAATACTTTCCATTTTTATTTGTTTCACATTCTCCAGAACCACTATTAGGTCTTCAGGTAGCTCTGCAGGGTCATAGTGACTCTAAGCAAAATAGGGTTCCCATTTACATTAAGAACATATGAATAGAGTCAGGTAGCTCCTCTGCCAACCAAGGAACAAACTAGGTGGCTAAACTAACTGCCAAATATTTTCCTTGGAGGAGAGATAACACTACATGAAAATCTATTCCTGGAAAAAATAACTAATTAAAAATAAAACAACCATTTACAAAAATACTTCCTCAGTTCTGTGTTAGACATTGTAGGAGATAAGGCCCTGGAGAGGCCAAAAGCCATAGCAGAGTCTGCTACCAAACCCAGTTCCCCACACCACAGACCAAGCTAAAGCAAGCAATCCAGGGGGATACAAAATTAATGGAAATAGCATACCTGAAATGTATAGCTAAAATCACACAGCTTAGAACAAGGTAATCTGTGACAAAAGGGTCAAAGACTTTGAAAGCTACTGTGAAGCAGATTCATTTACTGAGGGAAATGTCTACAGGTGAGTTGTTCAAAAACAAACAAAAAGATACTGACTGGCAAATTGAGTCTGCTTCTAAAATAACAGTGCAGATGTAGACTGTGATGAACTGCCGGAGACAGAAGAACCAGCAGATTCATTAGTTTAATTTTTATTCTTTGCCAGAGGGTGGGGGAGTTGACAGTTGATGAAAAAGTGGGCCTATGAGGTAGACTCACAATTGTTAGCTTCAAAGTGAAATGACCCGCAATTTTATTCATGATGATCATTAATTTTTGTGTGTGCATGAAAGATGACCCTGTCTTAAGCTGTATAGAGTTGTTTCCAAGCTGACAAGCTTGTAAGTCTTGTTCATGAATTACTCTAAATTCTCCTGGATATATAAAAGATCTCCAGAGGTTTGAGAGCCAGAGACCCCCTGCCAAGGGAAATACAGAGCGCACATAAAGGAGTCATTCTGAGTTTAAGGGTTCATCCCATGGCATATCAATTCCTTCCAAATATTTTTTTTTTTGGAGTAAATGAAATAATGTTATAAAAATCAACTTATTCATTTTTGGAAATATTAATTAGGAAACATTTTATATCATTAGGCAAGCATCCCCCTGAATGGCTAGGAAAGATTTTGCCTCTGAAAGCTGAAACATTTAGTTTGAATAAAACTTTGCATTAAATAGAGTTATGATTAGAGTAGACTGGTTCATTAATATATATTTAGAGATCAGACATTTATAAGGACATTAAGTGTATATAGTACCTGCAAACACACAGACACAGCACATGAAGGTACAAACACATTTAATTATTTTACGTAATTCCCAAGAACATGCAATGCTAAACTGACTTGATATTATACAGATGCAATTTTGGAATATTTATTTTCAATTTCCCAAATGATCTTTATAAATCGAAATTATATTTCATGTTAGTCTTAATGAGCATTTTCACATGATGGTACTGCCGTGACAACTTGCCCCTTACAAATTAAATATACTGTATTAACATTCAGCTCTGAATTTGGGGCCTTACCAAATTTAAAACGTATATTTCCTCATATTCCAAGTAATGCATCTTTATATTTTTGCAAAGAACAGTATAAAGTTCACCACACCAACAGCAGAGAAAATTTAGAGAGTGATATTTTCATTTTTTCTTTATAATGCTGTTAATCTGTTTCTTTAAAGCCAGCCCACTTGTTTAACACTAGGTACCTGTTACAATATATTAGATTCGTCTGAGAATGTTCGTAAAAGAAGAGGTCTGACTGAAGGTCTGGCGGATAATGAGTCAGATGCCCTTCTACAGCTCAGATTACTCTGTAATAGTGAGGCAAAGATACTTAAAGCATTTAGATAATTGGTTAACCTACCTGGTAATAAAAAACGTAGAAGAAAAAAATCATTTCCCATAGACTGCCCTTCTGGCCAAAAGTGCAAATGATTACACTATATTAGCAAACACGTAACATTCAAATGAATACAAGTAAAGGCCTAAGAAAGTCTCCAACTCGAACTGAATTATTTTTGTGGTAAAAGTAAAGAGACAACAGTAGTAAAGTGGCAAACTTGGGTTTTTGAAATGGCACTGGTAGGTTATATGGTAAGATGAGTCAATATGGTTTGATTAGTAAACCTTACCATCCTTTTGGTGAACACCTCTGAGAGTTGTGCCGCTGCTGTGAGTGTATCAATCAAAGAGAAACTTGTGCAAAACATTCCTTTCCTGGTGAACAGACTGGCTCTGACACGCCATGGCTACTACTGCATACCGTGGATCAATGAGACTATAGACCTATAGTTCAAGTTTTTGAAAATGACTTCCTCTCCAGTGTGACAGTTTGGAAGGTGAACAAATGATTAAAAGAAAATGACAAAATTTTCTATCAATAGAAGATATAAAAATGAATCATGAGCAGTAATTTTTCATAAAGAATCAGAAAATGGTGTCAGGCAAATGAGAATGCAAGCAAGTTGGTACATTAAGAAAGGAAATCACCTTATTCACTCCAAGAGAAACTGTGATTGCTGGAAGTTTGAGAAAGCATGAAGATAGTAGATGTTCCTGAGGAAGGGAGGCGTTTCGTTACCTTGTTCACAATTGCACAAAAGGTGGAAAATTGCAGTAGAAAAGAGAAATACAGAAACCAAAAAAAAAAAAAAGTAAATATTCTCTCAAATGTAAGACATTTAAAAAGAAACTTTGAGAATTCGAAGTCAATATGTTAGTTTTGAAGACATTACTTCTTAAAATAAAAGTAGAGTTAGAATTAAGAATAGTCTATGATTATGTGCCCACTATTATTTCTCCACATATCAACTTAAAATGATTTTGTTAATGGGAAAATTGCCTATTTTAAATAGTTTTAAAATATGCTTCTCATTAAAATAAGACTTATCTCTAATCATTAATTCACTAATCTACATTTGTTCAAAATCCACTGGTCAGAGAGCTATGTCCAGAGTCCATCACCAATCAATGTTGATTTAACTATCTCCCTTATGTGAATCCACAGGTGCATTGTGAAGGGACTGACTGCCCTTGGGCCACCACAGGTTAAAAACTTAATCGAAACTAAAGTAATAGGAAAACATCTGGTGATATCATACTTCTAGACCAATGCTCAACTTCCTTTCTTCCAAAATAATTTGATTGTTTTCCCTACAGAGACCTCTTTAGTAAGGTGGGCTGAATTTTTCCTAGTTTTAAGTATGCTTTTTCCTTTTAAAACACAAAATGTAAAAATTGATAAAGTTTAACTAGAAAACCTAAAGAGTTATTACTTTTCCTTCTTATTCTGTGCCTGAAATTAAAATTATAAAGTAATTTAAAGACTAGGTTTTAGTATTGCCCAAGCAAAACAGAGGACAATGAGTGGTCAACTATGTGGATGAGTTGAACAACTCTGCTAATCAAGATTACCCATATTATTTATACTTAGTGGCTAATAAAAATAGGCTTAGAAAATACAACCAGCTAAAGTAACAAATATATCCAGCAGAGTCTAATAAACAGTTAAACTTTTAAAGGGCAAATACTTCAATTTATTCACATATCTTGACATAACTACATTTTTCCTATTAATATTTTACCTTAAATGAAAGTTCTTGATAATATGCAAATTACCAATTGATAAAAAATAAAGATTTAGTTTTAGAGAAAAAAATTTAATTGTTTCTATCTTCTATTTTGTTGGCAAAAACCTTGCAAAAAGATGATACCAAGTTCCCCATCCCCATGTTTAACGTACAAGCCTAACTATTGAAGACTACAACTATAATAAGCACATTTTGCAGTGCTCAAAAACTTGCACCAGTCATCAAAGTATTTCTATGAAGTACAAATTTCAGGGGTTAACAGATTAGGGGTTAAAATTACTTTATAAAGGAAATAAAAGGAAATATGAAAGTACAGAAAGCAGCAGAAAGCATGGAAAGAGTATCTAAAGCAATAAAAAACTAATATAGCTAGCAATTGGCAGTGGGGAGGGGAGATGAAGAGGACAGGAAATAATGAGCTAAAACAATGAAATTTCTACGTTCCTTTGCAATCATCTAGAGTGTTGACACTAGCTCAAAGAGGCCAATGGATAAAGGCCCATGTCAACAGCCATGACATTAGGATTCAACTTTATTTTTGTCTAATCCAATTCACAGGGACTATTGCCCTCTAAACCCAGTTATATATGACACCATAAGAATCATAATAATCATTATCACCATTATTATTATAACAATAAATTGTATTCTCCAAAATTCCAAAGTGCTTTCTGTGAGAATTTGGCTCAAACAACTGATATTCTTCCTTTCCCTGTTTACCACTCTGAAAGAGCTTCCTACATAATGGAGTATTTCTTCCTGTCTGTGCTGACATCCCATGCTAGGCATTGCCGTGTTGTTGGGTCCATTCCCATTGGATCAGTCTTCCCATGTCTAGCAAGCAAGTCAAGCCTCCCTTTTGACAGTGGTGGTTTATGTGAGAAAACCTTACATAAGGACATGTGAAAAATTCCTCTATTAGGAATGTGAGCAGTATTTACAACTTTGCCAGAAAGTCCAGGTGTATTTCATTGATTTACAGATGGCTAATGACTGTGCTTAGAGAGGGGACAGCTTTTTCAAATACCCAAAATCCTAAACTTTGAATTTCCTCTGAAGTGTTATTCTGCTGTTCCACTGATCAGTGTTCAATGGTAGTTGCATCATACACTGTCAGTAGCATGGCTACGTAGCTTTGTCACTTTAGAAGATAAAGAAAAGCCCTATGATCCTTAATAATGAGACTATAGCACACCAATTAACCTCACTGCTGAAAATATAGCTTAGGGATACATGGCTTAATTACAATCCTTGAGTTAAACAACTGAGAGAATCTATTTCCAAAGACAGCAGAATTCTTTACAATGAATGCTAACATCATGACAGAACTAAGCTGTGGTAGAGGCTGCCATATTAGCCTTTTTACTGGAGGCTTCAGGAGGTAGTGAATTGGACCTTGAAGTAGCTCAGTTGTGTTATAACCAGCAATATCATCGATTCTACCATTCTGATTAATATCTGCTTACAGAAGTGTTCCATATGAATGTCCTTTATAACTTAACTAGAGAGAGAGCTCCTTGTGAGCTGGGGCCACGTCTGATCTTCCCTGAATTACCAACACCTAGTATAGTAGCTAACTCATAGTGGGCCTCAGGCAAATTATGCTGAATAGAATGGAATTCAATATTCATTCAAGACTGTTGCTATAATTGTTAAATATGAAATGGCTTAGCTTTTTCTCAAATGCCACAGATATATTTTCACTATCCACTGCTAAGTTCCCTTCTCAAGGCAGCTGCCAAGACCCATATGAGGACAGCAGTGGCAGCCTACCTGCCACAGGCATTTCTGGGTATGTGTACAAAGTGTCCAAGATGATTACTGGTTTAAGTCAGGGAGATCCTCTACTTTAGGTAGGGACACACAGTTTTTCCCATTAAGGAGCCTATCAGAGTATGAGGCAGACCTAGTGTAAAATAATCTTTTGCCTTTCTTTAAAATGAGGCCAGTGTCTTAGCAAGGAATATTGAACAAAGTAGGAAGTCACTAAGAAGGTCAGACTGTTGGTCACTAAGCATAAAGACTAACATTTTGGGGAAAGTAAGATACTCTTTGTCCTTTATCTTAGAAGTTGGACTTTGCCATGGCCAAATAGGGCCTTATGTAAACAGATGTGACTTAGAATAGAAGTGGCTGTGATGTTTCGGTTGGCCTTTATGCATTCATATGCACTACTTTGCTCTTGCATTTTCTCACAAGAAAAAAAAAGAGGCAGCGCTGCTGGGTGTCCATATGTTTTGCCTCATTTGCAACTCTCAAAATTCTAGAGTCTGAAAAACCACTTAGCCTTTCAGACATTGGATGTAAAGAGAGATGTTCATCAGTAGGTGGTTCAACAAATGTCTAATTGGTTCAATGAGGGTAGGAATAAATGAATGAATGATTGAATGAATGAAAATGATTATGGAAAATTTTCCTAGTTGTTCTAGCACATCAGCATGCCAAGCTACAGCACAAACACTAGAAGTCCTACCATGGACATAACCCATAACAAACAAATTTCATGATGGACTCCTGGTAACATTCCATGCTAAGTAAAAAGTATAGTACCAGAACTCCATACTTTCAACAGAAGTCTGGAATCTACTATTTGTATAGAAAGAAAATGTTCTAAGTCTTTATCTATGACTGCCTAGTAGCATTTTTCAATTTAATGGTCTATATAAAAGTCACCTCCAGCCAGTGTCCAATTGTTTTAAATAAAGGGCCTAAGGAAGAAGATAAGATGATATGTTTGAAGATTTTATTTTCTGGTATTTTTGTATCATCTTTAGAGTGTGAAGCTGGGTGTGAGCCATTATTTAACATGAAGTCCATTACCCTAAATAAGAAAAACATTTAGGAGAACTCCAAAGTGTACTCCCAAATAAGGAGAATGGAGGAGCAACTCAGAGATCTACCTCAGACAAATTTGCTATTATAAAAAGGCACCCACCAAACCATTTCTTAGAGAAAAATTTTTTATGTGGCTTCATGCAAATTGCAACTTGAGCCATTCTGAGAGGAACCTGTTATTTTAACCTGTTTTACCCCCATTCAACTGATAGTAAGGTATAATTAGGTAATTAAATGCTACTTTTTTTTTTTAAGACAGAGTCTCACTTTGTTCCCCAGGCTAGAGTGAGTGCCGTAGCATCAACCTAGCTCACAGCAACCTCAAACTCCTGGGGTTAAGTGATCCTACTGCATCAGCCTCCTGAGTAGCTGGGACTACAGGCATACGCCACCATACCCAGCTGATTTTTTCTATATATATTAGTTGGCCAATTAATTTCTTTCTATTTATAGTAGAGACAGGGCCTCGCTCTTGCTCAGGCTGGTTTCAAACTCCTGACCTCGAGCAATCTGCCTGCCTCAGCCTCCCAGAGTGCTAGTAGGATCACAAGCATGAGCCACTGCGCCCAGCCTAAATGATACTTTTTCCCCATCCTAAATCTAAACACCAGGCTAGAAGGAATTAGTTGGAGGTCTATTGGAAGAACTAAAGAGTAGCCTTAGTCTCTCAAAAAGACTAAGGCTATTGTATCTAGTTTCAGTCCATAAGACATGCAGAAGTAGGGAGTCCAGGGCAATTTTGACCACGTAAACTACACAATGAGTGTGGCCTTGTATAACCAAGAATCAGCGTGGGTTATGTCACTGGCAGTTCTGGTGTTTTTGAATGGGGCTGGCACTGACTTGTAACATGAAGCTCCTTTTTTCATACTTCTAATCACTGAAGATTTTCCTACTGTATTCATTTCAGATCCCCATGTCTGTATATTATCACCTACTGGATTCTATCAACTCAAGAGATAAAAAAAGGTAATGATATGCCAGTTAAACTGGTTGGCAAATTTGATCAAATAGGTCTGGCAGTCGTAGCTTATACTATTTCCTGAAAATACTGCCTTATAGGAGCTACATAATCTAGTTGGTGTCAATATGACAGAAACAGGGTTTTGTTTAGCAAAATCAGCCAGTGTTGGCAGAAATATGGAATACTTAATTAACCTGTTGATCAAAAAGTTTTATTTTCCATCCTTATCTCCCCCTTTCACTTTAAAGGCTTTTAAAAAAAACGGTCAAAAGATATCACAGCAAGGTGACAGAGGAAAATATCTTTTCATTCCAACAATAAATTTACAACTTAATAGGTAAAAATAAAAACACACTCATAAAACAATCTTGAATTTTTACAAGTGTGTTCAAGAGGGTAAGGATGTAGAAACCACATCCAGGGTATTGTCTTTGATCAAATATACTGCTGGACAGATAGGGCTAGAAGCAACACAGAGATTAAGCAGCACTATAATTAAAGGAAGGGGAAAGGTTTAAAAGAGGCAAATCGGGATTATCAACTGAAAAAAAATCTGCAAATAGCCTGCAGGGAGATTTCTAAGGTTAAAGCTGAAATGTTGGTGTGGAAATTCCTGGTGTGAAAATTCTAGGCTAAATACAAAATAAAATCATTTTTTCCTTTTAAAATTCCATATGGAGCATAGGAGATACTCCATATGGATTGCTAAAGGTCACATAGAACACTATTAAGGAATCTACTTACCACCTGCATTGGATAACGAAGTTTTTACTATATTTTTTATGCAGAAGAGGAAATTAAATGATGAACCTGTAAGGAGGGGTTTAACATGCTGTAACCAATGTAATTCTCTAAATAAGGTTTTTAGTTTATGGCAGATATTGAAGCCCCTTCCAAAAACCAGGTTATAATATAAACTTAGTTCTTACTCTGGCACTTCTTCTTACATTCTTTAATACTATCAGGAGAATCTCAGGGAAAAGGCTGATAAATATTAGAAGAATTACGGCCAACCACGTGGATACAGAAGATAGCATTTGAGCAAATACGAAATACATTCTCTGTTGCTTGAGAAAAGGCCTGCAGTGGAAAGAAAATATATAATGGAAAAATAAAATCAGTTCCTGTCATATGAAACAGACAGAAGTTTAATTGAAACTGCTTTTTGCATTTAAAAGGAATCTTCCTTACACACATTAATAAATATAATTTTCTCTAGAATGTCCCAGAAGTAGTAAACAAATTTCATTTACCAAATATTTAGAAAGGAATGCTAATCGAACAGGAAAAGGATAATAAAATGCATTTGACTTGAAAACAATCAGGCAATCAACTCTAAAGCTGCCAATTGGTGAACATTTATGTGCATTAGAAATTGTTGGAGCTTTCAAAGATATTCTAGAGAAATGATAGTCCATTTTTATCCTAACAAGCATTTTTTTTCCTCAGCTATTTTATTAAGATGAGAATGGATTTGTGCTTTACACTCAGAAATTTAAAAAACATCTTTAGAACTCTCCCCTTCCCTCTGCAAAAACCCTATGTAAACATAAAAGGGACTATAGAGCTTACCATCTCTCTCAAATGGTAAGAATCTCCTATTTTCATCCACAAATACATGTTGAGTAACAGTGTATGCCAAACATGCTGACAGAAGAATACTGCTAATAGGACATTAAGCCTTGGAATCCAGAAATCCAGGAGTATCTCTCATTACGAAGTTAGATGTCATTCCAAATCATCACAATGGCCATTGAGAAGCACAGTCAGTATCCCTTTCCCTGTCTGAGCTGAGCCACAGAGAGCCTCACTAGGCTAAGTTACTGTTGTTCTAAGCTGAGGGGGAGGAAGTGGCTGCTCAAGGTCAAGATGCACATCAGCCTATCCTGGGATTAAGAGCTCCGGGTAGATAACTAGTTAGTTCTCATTTATTAGTGAAGATGACCTGGTTTCTCATTTAAAAATTAATGTTGAAGCACCCTTATGTAACATGATAAAACCATGCTTGTGCCTCTACATATATGAGGACTGAATTTAGACTGTGGAATAAAAGTGAGCAGAACAGTGAGGTGAAGAAACTCATGAGTCCTGGGCCATATAGGCTTTCTAGGAAAGGTCTACCACATAGAAAAGACTTTTGCAGACCACTACCCCACTCTAATTCTGAAGAGGACCTTAAATAATTTTCTAGATACTGAGCCATAACAAGGGTCCAGCAGACAACCAACAGCTAGTCACAGAGTGTTCCTTTGCACTATACCCTCTGATTAATCTCTCTAGAATTTTTGTTTAAGCTACCATGGCATCTATGGAACTTTGCAGGAAGGCAGTGAAAAACAAAAGCTATTATTACTGGATTGGGTTTAGAGATCAGAAATCATCATTCTCACTGCCCAACCCGAAAGAAGGGTATGTCTCAGTGCCTCAGGCTAGACTATGTCCAGAGACAACAGGTACACCCAGCCTTCAGCTGAAGTTTCACATAGTTTCTAGTCTCATTTTACTGGCTGCTTTACAATATAAGTTTATATTCATGTAGTAGCTCAACTCAGGCAACTCTACTTAAAGATAGGACATCAGGCAATAAAATTTAAAAAATAGAGTTCAGTAACATTTCATTTTTAGTAAGTATGCTAATGAATAGAAACAGATGTGACAATGTCCTAATCATTTAAATGATTTATTTAAATCAATAAGAATAGTCTGCGGAAAGGGTTATAAACTAGTTTGCTAAAAACATTTTATTCTTGTAGAAATTTTGCATAATTAGTTCAAATGCTGATTACACAGATTCACAGACAGAATTATAGTACTCTGGGTAGACATACAATTGTATGCTGCATTTGGTTAATCAACTTTAATTCATTTGTATATTACTAAAGAATATAGAGCTGAACTTCCTTCAGTTTCATTGTTCTCAATCATTACCTACAGACGTGCCAAATACATGCTGTAATGACACATTTTGGAGCTGGTGCTTCCTTAAATGATTAGATTTTTCAAATTTTTTGTTCTTAATGCTTTTATTTTAAAAAGAACCTTTGAAATTAGGAGTTTCTTCCAATTAAATCTCAAGGGACATGAACCTGGGCCTTACATCTCTGTGATAAAATGTTTTATTGGTAAGATTTTACTCAAGGCAGTGAAAATATGTACTCCTGAAATCTCACCCTACCGCTTACTCTAGACACACTCTCTGCTGCTGACATCCTTGGCAAGGGAAGCCACTGACTAAGAAAAACAACTTTGATATTTAAAAATAAAATATTGGTCTCTGGGAGTAAGGAAAAGAGATACAAATCTAACTTATTTACATTTCTTATACCTGCCCCCATCACAGCTTGTGTCCCTCAATGGACTCTAATCTTGAGACAGGGTATACAGTGTACTGATCTCTCTATCCCATCGAGTCCCAAGCACAAAATGGATTCTAAGTAAACATCTATTGAACCAAGGTGAACTGAATGAGCTTTAAGGTCGAGCTGTAGGGTCTGCCTTTCTCCCTCCCCACCCTCACCTCCACGAAAACAGTGAGATGGTCATTTCAAGGTATCACCCTCTGAGTATTAAGTGGTATATATACTATATTCCCAGAACACCTGTAGTGACACAAATGACAGTTATATACTATAAAGAGAGAATAGGTTCCAAATGGACAATAACGTATCTATTGGCTAACACATCAGGTGGAAACTTAACAGGATGATTATTTCCCCTGGAAATCACATGGGAGGTTATGCTAAAAATTACAGTTTCACTTCACAGAGAGATGTTTACACCTTCAAATGGAAAGAGTTGGACAGGGGCTACCAAAGAGAGGTCTTTGAGTAACTCCTGTAGTCTATATACTTGTATTTAAAATCTTACCTGAAATTAGTAGTATTACTGGCTACAAATGACTTGTAATCCATTAATATTAAAGACCTGCCATCTTATATAATCAAAACTTTAAAAGTACAAATGCTTACATATGCAATGTACATATATCTAACTTTGTTATTTACATATTACTCACACATATACAGTTGCTTACCAAATAATTCCTCCCCAGAAGAATGAGAAAAATACATAAAAGGCTAAAGAACCCCAAATCACAAAGTGATTTATCCATGTCCAGAAACGAGTATCCAAGGCGAGCTGAAAAGACAATACAAGAGATTTCATGATGGATACAAATTGCAATACACTATGGTGCCAGATCACTTGTACTAAATATGATACCTATGGGAGGATCTAGCTTGGACTAGGGATCCAGAGGAGAAGGGAACTAAAAGAACAGAATATAGGCTTTTCAAAGCACTAGGGTGAGAAAGCGGAGCTCTGCCCTAAGGCCTCTAAACTCTAGAGTGCAAGGCATGGAGGTGTGGTCAAGCTAAGTAGCTAGTAGGTGTAAGGCTGCAAATGTCTCAGTACTGGGAGATGGGCCAGGAATGAGGTAATGGTAATTTCCAGGAAGAGGTAGCCCCAAGTCCTCAGGTAGGAAGATGATGGCAAAAGAAGGCCTAGCTGGTAGAGGCAGGTATGCTGGAACACAGTAAGAGAGGGAAGGGGTAAGATAGGAAGGGTAGACAAACTACAAAGGAGTTATGAAAGCTCAAACAGAACCGAGTCACTAAATGCAAAGGCAATTAGTGCTATACACATCTAACATCATGTAGAAATGGATCATGGGGCTGACCATGTAATGTGCCTTTCCAGTTGCAAAACCTTTATCTATTTAATTAAATTAATAAAATGTTCAGTTGCCTTAGATTTAATCTCTTCATGTTTCTGCCAGGACTGATCACATATTCTGATTGTGGTGCCCAGGGATTTCAAATGTGATCTAAAAACAAATGTATGAGCCCGAATGCAGTGGCTCATGCCTATAATCCTAGCATTGTGGGAGGCCAAGGTTGGAGGATTGCTTGAGCTTAGGAGTTCGAGACCAGCCTGAGTAAGAGCCTGACCAAGTCTCTACCAGAAATAGAAAAATTAGTCAGGCATTGTGGTACGTGCCTATAGTCCCCGCTACTCAGGAAGCTGAGGCAAGAGGATCGCTTGAGCCCAGGAGTTTGAGGCTGCTGTGAGCTATGATGATGCCACTGCACTCTACCCAGGGTGCCAGGGAGACAGGGCAAAACTGTCTCACAAAAAAACAATCGAAAACAAAACGACCACAAAAGTATGGTCTGCTCTGCCTGCTTAAAGACTTCTGAGTCACATGGGCTAATATCTAGAATATTTAATTCTTATAGAGGAGGTAGTGTTTCAGTTTTGTTACGTGCTGTGACACCATGGTTTTCAGCTGTTATAGGTTTTCATTCATAAACAGGATGTTGACAACATTGTTATTGTAGCCCAGTCTTAAATTCCTATTCTATGGGTTGCTAGAGAAAACACCACGCTAATACCAATCTAAAGAGGAGGAAGTGGATGTCTTGTCAGGTGCACTTGAAAGATGCAGCAATAAGGCTTACTTTGTGAAAGGCATTTGGAAGCCCTAGGGCTATATGCAAATCCAGGTGTAAAAAAGGAGGGGGAAGCTTCTATTTCAGATCAGGATCCTGTGAAACATGGCAATAGATAATAACAAATAGCATTTATTGTAATGAGCACATTCTATGTGCCAGACACCATTCTAAATGCTTTATGTATATTCATTAATTTACTCCTCACAAAAAACCCTAAGAGGGGTAGGTACCACTTTTATCTTGATTTTATAGAAGAAGAAATAGGCACAGAGAAGTGAAGTCACTTACCCTAGGACATACGGCTAGTAAGTGGCTAAACTGAGATGAACTGTAACATGCCTTTTTAAACAGTTAAAATATTACTGAAATAGTAGATGAATAAAGCAAACACCTGTTCGCCCTATTTGGTATGAGAGATGAACGAGAAACAAAAATTTTAGAGGGAAAATGATTAGAGAGGTCCTTTGACAATTATATTTCTGAATCTTGGTTCTGAACACTGGGCATGTTGGAATTTATTTAAAGGTACTCATTCTTGGACCCCATGGGGGGTGCTTATTACTGGAATTATCAATAGAATTTGGTTATACTTTCAACTACAACAGCATCCCTTGAGCAGCCTCAAGGGCAGCATTCAGTGAGGATTCATAGCATTATACATGGCTGCAAGCCATGTCAATGATTCTGCCAAAATACCCTTCTTTTTTGTTACCTGCACTGTCTCTTTATGCACTTTATCACTAACATAGGTATGTTTCAGTGACAAATACTTTTTATAAAATTTCATTACTATCTAGCTCTTTTGCACATATGTCTCGCTCATGTGCATTCACGTTATGTTTTAAGTACCCCAATTCCTTGTAGGCCTGGGGTTCTTAAACAGATGTATAATTTTTAAAAAGATTCAAGTGCTTAACACACACACACCCATTCACTGGGTATTTGTATGTCACTTATCATAATTCCTTGAAATTAGCAGTAAAAAAAAAAAAAAGATTTCCAACATAAGTGTGGTGTTGCAATTTTTTTAAAAAACAAAACAGAGAAGATAGACAGTATATTGAAAAAATGGATCACAAATAGTACATAAATGCCCAAATCCCTAGCATCATAAACATTTTAGGAAATATTCACATAAAGGCTTGAATAACAACCCTCAACAAAATATAAGAGATAAAAATGATATATTAGGATAAGGTAAGAATTACAAAATGGTATTAACATATTTGAATAAATAAAAATCTCACCTTCAGAGTTACAGTGAATACTAAGACTGTAAAAACAATGGTTCCAAATGTCCAGTTTCCATATACCTGAAAAACATTTAACAATTACATGTACTATAAATACACAAGCCTGTTTAAAAAAAGAAAAAGCCCAAGTTTAATCCTGCATGTAACTGCCAAAGGTTTTTGTATGAATTTCTTAGGGAAACAGCTAGTCAATAAGATCAAGCCACAATGCTGGATTTTCCTGTAATCCTAAATTTTCATGGACAGGTATACCACACCTGTGGTTGGTAGCATTTATTTCCATTATTCCATGTAGCATTGAACAGGGAACGCACTGGTGTGAGAAAGGCAGGAAAAGAACCCATAACTATTCTGCTAACAGCAATGTTCATCAAAACAAGTCATCTGGATGACTCACATCTCTAAAGAGTCTGGTATGGGCTTTTCCTAGAATACAGAATGAAAGCTCTCAAATCAGCAATAATCTGTAGACAAATGGACTCATTTTTTAAATGAGTCTAATTTTTTGGTTGCAAATAGAGCTGTCAGCATGTGCACATCAAAGAAAAGCAGATACCACGTATAAATCCAAATGATGGCAATGAACGGCACATATGCTTACCAAATGCTGTCAAGATCTGAATGCGTAACATTAAAACAGAAAATGAGATGTAAAAGGATTTTAAAAAATAAAAACAAGGCCAGGCGCTGTGGCTCACGCCTGTAATCCTAGCTCTTGGGAGGCCGAGGCGGGCGGATTGCTCAAGGTCAGGAGTTCGAAACCAGCCTGAGCAAGAGTGAGACCCCGTCTCTACTATAAATAGAAAGAAATTAATTGGCCAACTGATATATATATAAAAAATTAGCCGGCCATGGTGGCGCATGCCTGTAGTCCCAGCTACCCGGGAGGCTGAGGCAGAAGGATCACTCGAGCCCAGGAGTTTGAGGTTGCTGTGAGCTAGGCTGACGCCACGGCACTCACTCTAGCCTGGGCAACAAAGCGAGACTCTGTCTCAAAAAAAAAAAAAAAATAAAAACAAAAAATTAAGGTTAATAGAAACAAAAAAAGGATTCAATCAAATCATACATGGGTGTTATGTTTAGTTGCTAATAGCAGTTCTTGCACTTACTATACTTTTAGCAAACATTTAGAAGGATGGTGACATATACAATAAAACCTTATTAATTTGGACTTCATGAACCCAAAATGGGAAATAAATTGAACAGAGGTGGGGTTGACACTCCTCATGTAGCACCTGTAAAGTTTGCTGAGTAAATAAATCATGTCAACAGTACTGTAGGATTATGTACCTTCTTTGGAGCAAACTCTTTTTAAGGGTAGCCAGCTATATACAATTTTGAGCCAAATAAAAATAAAACAACAAGTGGAAGTCACAAAATCAGTCATAAAGCTGAAGGGAACAAATAAATCATAAAAACAAACCCATTCTTACTGATGGACAAAGCTGATTGGAAAGCTAATGTGACTTTCTCAAGAACATGTAAGGATTTAGCAGGACACTCTCCTTGGCAAGTGCTACATGGGACTACCCTATAGTAAATTTGTATTTCCCCAACAATTACTTTGTGATTAATAATTTTCATGAATTCATACAACCCTGACTTCTGTTAGTCCACATTAGAGAGGTTTTGACTATAGTACTTAATTTCAAAGTACCATTCAAATTCACTGAGCCTATCACCTATTTAACAGATGTTAATGGTCACTGTACTCAGTAAACTCTTTTTGAACCTTAGCATTGCTTCATGTTATGATTAGAAAGAATGAATGACCATAAAAGAGAAATCCTAGAAATAGCAAAAAAGAACATGGTCAAAGCAGCATGCAAGGCAGTGTGTTTGGTTTTCTATTGTGTGGCTACAAGAAGAAGGCCTCCAATTGCCCCCCATCAGTAATTCTCTCCTAGAGTAAAGCCAGGGCAAAAGCATCCCAGTGCAGCTGCTGCCTGAGATAGTCACTTGCTGGGAAGGTACTGACAAGACCAGTGTAGCCTTTCTGGAGAACACTATGCTCCCAATTTGGAAGGGAAGAAGGTAGAGAAGAGAATTCCCTCTCTTCACCTATCGGGCAAACACTATGAAGATATGACATCTATCTCCTTTGACTCCAAGCATAGAAGGCCACTATGAATAAGAAATGAGTGGGGCCAGATTGTTCTTTAAAATGAGAAAAGCATTTCTCACATCAAAGAGCAGGGGTATAAAATCTGAAGTCCCAAGGCCTCTGTTCATCTAGCGAAAATCACGTCCAAATTAAGGTTCCTAAAAGTTTGCACATAAGCGCTCTAGTTAACCATGCACACAGAAAGTGATTTCTTACTTCAACACTTCTATTGTTCTAAAGAAGTTATTAAGAACTAAATATTGTATCTTAAGAGAAACAGTTTGCAAGATGATTATAGCTACAGTATGTTTATGACAGATCCAGTGCCCATGAAAAAAAGATAAGCCATGCTTATAAATACCAAAAGATATAACGATGTGTTTTTATTTTTACCTTTCCATTTTCTTCTAGGGATGCAGTCTGAAAAAGAAAATATGTCCCAAAGAAGAATACTGTCCCTTGAAAGGCAGACAGAAATGTCCAATATAAGAAGGGTCCCAACTGTAGCATGGCATTGCCAGAAATTTTCCTATTGAGAAATGGGAAAAAGGTTAATGAATTTTTTCATTTAAAGATACAACGGAGGTTAACTGTGTCACAGAAATTTCGAAGAGTACATCTGTGTGCTAGCTCTTTCCTTTTGCCTTGTTGAACTGCAGAAAGTAAGATGGGTCACTAGCAGCTCTACTGAAGCCACCCATGAAAATTCGGCCATATTTCTCACTCTTGTTGCAGTTGCTCAAATCAGCATGTGCTGATCCAGAAATACGGTCTCAATACGCATTGCCAGTGTTTCCATCAGTACACGAAGGAGTTCATTAAGTTGGACTAAGTGATCTTCCTTGAATAGATTATCCAAAGGCATCCAACCAATGAAAGAAAACAGGCTAGCTTTTTGTACATACATTTTTTTTTTTAAACCTCAAAAAAAGAAGATACAGTGAAATGCCAAAAGTGGGCATGGGAATTGAACCCATTATAATGAGGAGGCCTGAAACGTTTTTGGTAAAGGGCCAGACTGAGCCAAAGGTTGATTTTCATGTTATCACCTCCTGACTGAGGCACTGGAGTAAACTGTCAAACCATTTCTAAAATTCTGGCCACTAATAATAATAACATCATCAACAATAATTAGCTCCCATTTAATGAGTACTTACTATATACCAAGAACTGGGTTAAAAGTTCACTAACTATTTTCATCCACATAAAATCTACATGAAATAGGTATTATTATCACTCCCATTTACAAAAAATAAGGAGCCTCAGGAGGCATAACATACTGGTTCCCAAACTTTGATGCACACTGTAATCATCAGGATCGGTTGCATTTACATTACAAACTGAGCATCAGGATAGTTTTTGGAGTTCCTCAGGTGATTCCAGTGTGCAGTAGTTTGGGAACCACTAGTGTAGCAGCATACCAAAGTTCACACAGTTAGTAACAGACAGAGCTAACACATAATCCTGGATTGAGTTGACTTCTGAACAGGTGCTTTCAACCAAGCTACCAAGCTTTCCAACTACAATTGTTTAAAAATGTCTTTAAATCAAGATTTCTTCCCCGAAATTTAACCTTTTTTAGGTCTTAGATGCCCTTTATATTTTTTCCATCAAGTCAAATAACATGTTTTAAGTTGTACAATGATGCTTTGATAAATGGCATAAATGATAGATGGACAGATTAAAAGCTTAAATCTGTCAAAAATAGCATAACCTGAGCACAAGTCAGAATGTTAAATAAGGCTACCAATACTAAGAAGCAGAGCTGCAGAAAAAAAGATGGGTTTGTGTATGTATTTCTTTTGGATTCTATTTCAATTTGCTCTTAACATTTATCAAATGGTATGTAATCACTCAAATAGCACACTTGTTGCCAATACTACCAAGAATATAACAGGGCTGCACCGAATAAGGAACACCTTTGTAATGTAAGTGCAACTGATCCTTGTTCAATTGGTATTGAGTACTATGGCAATTATGGCAAAACATGGCAATTATGTAACTTTTGCCTACTAGGATTTCCAGGTGCGTACAGGACTCTGAAATTCAGGAAATGCTGTCTGTCCTAGAAAAATGGCAGGGGATGGCTGCTGCCCAGAAACAAGCTCTCCCCACGGCCAGTAAGTCATGTATGTCTCCAAGGCAACTGAGAGTCAGAGAAAGCACCTCCCTGCAAGGAGTACACAACTGCCAGCCAGTGTGGCTTTTGACAGTGATGGGCTGAGGCAGAGAGGGCAAAAGTAGGACATGGTTCTGTCTTTACAGACCATCTATGTAAGCTACAAAAGAAAAATGGCAGGGGAGTCATGATATGTTGAATTATAGGCCAGGTTTTCTAGCAGCACTCAGATGAATGTTGGAGAGCATCTGAGAGAATATGAAAATCTGTGAGAGAGGTTAATCAGCAGCATAGGCCTAGGCCTAAGCACCTCCATATGATGGCAGGCAGCAGGTGTACCAGGGCTCTTTCTTTTGCCTTTTAAAGCTGTAGAAGGAACACACTACATCTGTTCCTTCTATAGAAAAACTACAGTTTACTTTTTAAATTTCTCTTAAAAATTATGAAAATAAGCAATTATATCTTGTTTCAGTGTTTGGAAATGCCTGAGTTACTAAATTCCAGAAGGTGACACCTGTAATATGCTACACAATGCCACTGCTAATATTAAGTGGTACACTGCAGAGAGAGCCATATATGAAGACCAGGGCTTCATGTTTACAAAGTACTAGAGTAACAGAGCAATCTACAGACAGACCAAGAGCAGGGTCTGATCAAAGCATGCACTCACTACTTACAAGTACGACGTTAAGAAGGAAAGCCCAACTTTGAGCTTGGCAATAAGCATACCATAGTTTTAATTTTTGCATCAGATATGGTTAAGTATGCAAAATTGTTCAATAATTCATGACCTACCTGCAATGCAGTAACTCAAACTTCATGTAAACCCTTATAATATTTTGTACTCAACAGCTTTGTAGATTTTCAACATTCTTAATTTATAAAACTGCTTAGCACAGCCCTAAAGGCATGTGGAGGAGGGCATTAGAATAACAAGATTTATAGCTACTGTCAATTGAAAACTTGTCAGGCACTGTTTTTTAAGTTCTTTTGCATGTAGTGACTCATTGAATCTTCACAAAACCATTGTGATTGGATGCTATTGTTGTTCATACTTTACTAAAGATGAAATTGAGGCACTTATCAGTCAAGTAACCTGTACCAGGTCACACAGTAAGTGGCAGAGGTAAGATTTGAGCACAGGCAGCCAAAACTCTTTCTTGGTGGGACTGAATGGGAGGAATTTTGCTTAATACCCCTCAAACCTCATTTTAAGAAGAGCAGCTACACTCTTGGGCTTTACTTTAGTGGTTGTCTGAAGACAACTGCTGTCTGGTTGAAAACCACTGGCCTGCTGGAAAAAGCATGGCAAAGAGGGCTGAATTCTGATCTTTGTTTTGCCTCTAGTTATACCCTGTGCCCTTAGGTAAGTCATTTCTAGGTCTTGGTTCCTCATTTTCAAAAAGAGGGTATAGGGTATGGGAGCTGATACTCCGTAAGATTTCTACCAAGGCTACTTGTTTCTTTTTCTTTCTTTCTTTCTTTTTTTGAGACAGGATCTCACTTTGTTGCCCAGGCTGGAGTGCAGTGGCTCAATCATAGCTCACTGCAGCCTCAAACTCCTGAGCTCCAATCTATCTCCTAACTCAGCCGCCTGAGTGGCTAAGAACACAGGCCCATGCCACCACACCCAGCTATTTTTTTTTTTTAATTTTTTTTTGTAGCTAAAAGGTCTTGCTATGTTGCCCAGGCTGGTCTTGACCTCCTGGCTTCAAGTGATCCTCCCACCTCAGCCTCCCAGAATGCTTGGATTATAGGTGTGAGCCACCATGCCTGACCTCTACCAAGATGTCTAATGATTCTACTTTAGATCTAATTGTCCATTTACAACAAATACAGGAAAATCAGTGGAACATGTTAAATAATGCCATGAGGATGCTATCGGCAAACTCTAGACTGGGGAAAACTTTACAACATAAATGATCCGGTTTCATCAACAAATAAATTACAAGGTTAACCTACAGATTAAAAGAGACTCAGGAAGCATATCAACATATGAAGAGTCAACTGAAGAAATTTGAACATTGGATATTTGATGATATTAAGGATTTGTTAAGTGATAGGGTACTGTTATTTTAAAAAATCTTTAAGAGATACATACTGAAATAACTGTTTTATATAATGTTTGAGATTTGCTTCAAAATAAGCCTAGATAGAGCGTATGGGGTTATTAATGGAACTAATGGAACAGGTAGGTCAATGAATTGATAGTTGTTGAAGCTGAGTGCTGAGGACAGGGCAGTTCATTCTATAAATAGTATTCTCCCTATTTTTGTGTATGTTTGAAATTTTCCTTAATAAATACTCTTTTTTAAATGATGATAAATTCTGTAAGTCTGCAAAATTCTAACAGTTGCTAAATGTCAATTTTATGAATCATACTGGCTAAAGAAATCCCTTATATTTGTGAATCTTCGTTTCATACAAATAAACCACCTGAGACTCTTTATTGTACTATTCTATCCACTACATAGCAATGCTTATAATCTGCTATAAATTAACATCTTTAAACCTTTAAACCTAAACAAATCTTTGGACCTTAGTTGTACGCTTAACTTCTAAAAATCCAATTAAATCATAAGTTAGACAACTGGGGCTAATGTCAAATTCCCCATCTATAGAGAAAAGCATCCATTTCCAACTGAGGCAAAATGAATACAATGGCTTGAGTTAATTGTTTTGTTTAACAAAACAATTTTAGAAGGGGGCTAATAGAAGAGGGTGGCTAATGCTTCAGGTGCTGTTTATAAGAGAAAGACTAACAACTTCCTCAGTTTAATCCACTAGAGGCAGAAATCAATATTCTAAAATACCGAAGATTTTCATGTGTGCTTTTTGTTTCTGCAGTTAAAATATCATGTCTTCCTATAAGATACTAGAACACTATGACAATATAGGTTGAAGTTTTAGGAATTAGTGATTTATACACATTCAAGTATATGACTTACACCTGGAAAATACATCATTGTACTGTTGAGTGGTCTGGTTTCAGTAGCTAAAAATTCCAAAGAGAACTATATAATCAAACCAGGTAGGCAGTTCTGTGTCCTTCCCATCTGCAGATGAAATAAAACTCAAAACTCTGAAAGTCTGAGGGGATTTTAACTATATGTTCATCTTACATATATAATCGGGGGTCTGAGGTCAGAGTGTCAATGTTGACATGCTGCTCCAGTAGACTGTAGGCCAGGATGGGCAGCGATGTGAAGCAGATATTGTACATTGTAAGGTAAGCAGCATCATACAGTGGCTGAAATGACAAACAGAGGAAAGAAAAAAATTTACTGTAACAATTATGTACAAGAGGATATTTAAGTATTTGGAAAAATCGCTAGCTAAAACAAGATTTTCTTTCATGCTTTTTGTGATAGTATAAGGTCACTCCATGGTAACTATAAAAATGAAACTAACATGTTGTGATGTGTCATATTAATATAACCATCCCTTTAATAGAATCTTATTCAGAATGTTTACATGCTATAAGCTGTATTTCTAACAGACATTAATAACTTTTCATAAAAACTTAATAGCTAAAAATTCAACTATTCAGGAGCTATGTCAAGAAAGACCAAATAAGTATAAGCTAAAAAAAACAAAAAACAACAACAAAAACAAAAATAAAAAACAAACTGTTAAAAAACTAAATATAGGCAGTGGCCAGCCTATGTACAGTTGTTTTGGTTAATACTTTACATATTTTTTGGTTAGTATTTTCAAGTCCAAATCCTATAATATATTTTTTAACATCTTCTTCCTAAGAGGCACCACAGTTCTTCATGGTGTATGTCCTTTCTCTCTGCACTGACTAATAAACCTAATCTGATCAACCACAAGTGTGTTCCTGGTGATTTTTGGCTAGACAACTTTGACAATCTTCAGCTCCTAGAACAGAACTTGGTATACAGAAAGCATCCAATAAATACTAGATGAATGAATGAGTACAGACTGGAAGCTATAACACATTTGTATAGAACTGAACTGATATTATACATCTTGCTTTACTGAAAAATATTTAAGGTATTCTATGAGCTTCTGATGGAAGTACGTAGTGAGTTCAGTATTTATCTACACAGTGCTAGATATCACATTACCATTTTCTGTGGCCTGGATAAATAATACCCCATACTCATATGTATTTTTCACACATATAAATGTTCTTTGATTAACGCATTTAAATGTGACACAAATTAACACAAAAACGTATTTTTTAATCAATGGCTACTAAAGATAATTACTATCATAAAAATGTGATAAAATTAACACAATTATGTATTTTTAATCAGACCACTGTGAACTAAAATAAAATTTTAAGGTTCACCCCCCCACACATACTGGCTGACTGAATGGATCCCCTCATAGCCAAAGAAATATACTAAAACTAAATTGCCTGCCTGGAGGAGAGAGGTCAGACATGCCTCCTCATCATGCCCACCCCCCCTTCTTGGGGACATCCTTTGTAACCCATTAACAGGCCTAAGGTTATGCAAGACAAACCAGCAGGTCCTCAATTTACACAACAAATATATGTCCGGTGGCTTATCTCTGATTAAGAGCTTCTTACCTTAAAACATTCCAAGCCTCTAGACAACAGCTTCATGTCTTTAACCAATTACAAGTCAAAGAATTTTTAAGCCCACCTATAACTTGTAAGTCCCCTCCTCTTCAAGATGGCCTACCTTTTGGGCCAAACCAATGTATGCCTCCCACATATTAATTGATGACTTTACCTGTTACCCCTGTCTCCCCTGAAATGTATAAAACCGAACTCTAACCTAACCACAGCTAGTCCACTTGCTCAAGGCTTCTTGGGAGTGGCTCTGGGTCATGGTCCTCAAATTTGGCTAAGAGTCAATCTCTTTAAAATTACAGAGTTTGGCTTTTTTTCCCCCATTGACACTGCTAAAGATAATTACTATCATAATGGAGATTGACTCGAAAAGGTTGGGAATGACTTGAAAGGAACATCAGTTAATTCATTAGATGACTCAAGAATGTTTACTGAGTGCCCACTAAGCCCCAAGTACTGGGGACAGAGATGATTCATCCCTGTCTACCAGGGAGTTCAAATTCTAGATAGGGAGATAGAATGGGAGGTGCACAGGGAGCTAGGGAAGCCCAGGGGAGGGGACCACAAATTTGGCCTGCAGTAAAGAGGAAGCAAGAGATAATGCATGCAACATTCTCAATGAATGTTAAAAAAATGGCTGTATATAAGAACATGGAGGTACTTTCAATATATTTTCTATAAACAAAGATTGAAGCTCAGTAAAGATATTCTATTGAATTAAAAGGACCAAAAAAGGTGTTAAATTCCTTTTAATTCTCAAGGGAGAGGACTAGTCTGTGGCACACAATACTACATTTTCTTTAGAAACTACCCATTTTCACTAATGAGTAAAATTTTAAAAACTACAACTCCAATTGACTGGTGTATAATTTAGTCTTAAATTTCATTTTAAAAAAAGAAGCATCTATCTACTTTTGTTTCACTATGTTACTTTAAGGTTACCTGAAAGATAATTGTAATTCTTATGTGCATAATTAAGGGAGACAGGCTGTCCCCAAAACAAACAGGTTTAGTTGATAATATTGTTTCTTGTTAAACACATTACAATGTTTTCATTATTAAAAAAAAAAAAAGACAAGTACTATCCTAGCTTTTTGCTAAAGAAAGAGTTGCTTTTGCATAAAGAGTCCCAATCTTAGTCTCATTTCTACATTCCCTATAGCCTACTTTCCAAGTTCCCCAAAATACCTAAAGTGGTTTTGGAATGAAAAAGACTGACTACTCATATGAACTCTAGAGATATTTGTAAAAAAGGTTGCTACATTCAGTACTAACATAAAGTCAAAAATAAAGATTTTACACATCATGTCACCTTCTCAGAGAGACCTTCCTTTGACCTTGTTACAGCAAGTGTTACGGCGGGTGGTCCCGAGGACAAACCGAGCGGCACACTGAGAGTGGAGAATCAAAATTTATTCGCCAGTGGGCTCAGAGGGGCCTCACCACCAAATTCTGAGCAGTCTACCCGATTTTTCCCACTTTTATTAAGTTGGGGTGGTCCGAGGGGTGGGGTACCAGGTATAGGTTAGTTGACAGTGTCAAGCAATAGGTTAATATTATGTTGATGCGCCAGGCAATAGATTTAGTGTTATGCTGATGCCAGGCAATAGACTAGTTGATGGGCCAGGAAACAGGTTAGTATTATGCTGATGTGGGTCTTCCATGAGTGGTGGGGGTCTCTAGTGCCTGATGTGTCAAGTAATAAGATGGGGGTTTCCCTTATCAAGCTGGTATATTTTTGCTCTAAGATGCATTACTTTCCTCTGCATACTTCCTTCCCTCAGCTCCTTAAGGTCTCTGTCCACTTATCACCTTAAAAGACAGACCCTTCCAGATCAGCTTCTCTAAAACAGCAGCCCTCTCCCTCAGTCACTCTATCCCTGTATTATGCTTTATTTTTTTCCCCATCAGAGCACATATTAGTACCTGACATAATATATTTGATTGTTGTCTGTCTCTCTCATTATTATACTGCAGGTTCCATGAAGGTAAGGGAGTTTGTTTTGATCACTGCTATAACCTCAGCATTTAGCCTGGCACAAAGTAGGCACTCAAGAAATATTTGTCAAAGGAATGAATCTATGAAGTTCAGTAACTGAAGAAGCCAAATGCCAACTCCTATGGAAACCTAGGTATTTAAGGTAACGTAAGACCAAAGATAGTCCGGGGGTTTGAATCTCACTCAGCTAGCTTTATAAGGAGTTAAGTCCTTTCTTTCCTCATACAACTTGTGATTGGTAAAGGCGTTTTAAAAGGACAACAAAGCAACAGACTCCTTTCAAAATAAAATTAATGTTTCAACCAGATCAAGCCAACTTCCCTGCAGTACTTTGCTACAAATTAGTTAAGAAAATTTGAAACATCTTTTTAAATACTTGCATTCATCCAAAAAAGTAAGAAATTAGCAAGCAACATTTTAATCAATAGCAATTTGAATGTTGAAGAAAAGCAGATTGATCAGAATTTACAAAACTCAGTAACTAATACTATCACTTTTAAATGCAAGAAGGCTGATGGCACTTCCTACAACCTGAAGATGCTTAATTCATAACATAATCTGCTTAACTGGCACCATGGGGCTAAGGACTCAGCATTGATGTGAGACAGCATACCAAATGGCAAAGAGGTAAGTTCAAGAGAATGAGAGCAATCTCAATTAGGAGGATGCATTCTCTTTAAAATACTACGAAGGAATTAGGAAAAAAAAATCACTTCCTACCATGAGGAACTAAAAGGAGTAAAGCTTGCCTTTGAAATTTAGACTCTCAATCTTTAATACCTGTGTCGATGTGGTAGCTCAGCTTGGCAAAAATCACTGAACTGCTCTTAGATTAACTACAAAATTTCTGAGTCACTGAGCATCATAGCTTTTGTATTTGGCTATACTTCTCACTAGAAGCAACATCAAATCTGTTTCAGTTGTTAAAATAAATGTGCCTGCCCATCCCACTACTTATATATCAAGTTGAAATATAGCTTATTCTTTGTGTAGTAAATGTTCAGAAAACAATAGAGGGCAAAACATCTAGAATTGCTTTAAGTAATCCAAGGATTTGTCTAGGCACCACAGCTTCTTGGCCAGTTTAAAGACCAATGTTTTTATATAAAACCAACTTGAGGAACTACAATGGTGTGATATTTTACTTGATGAAATAAACTATAATGTTTTAGAATTATAAAATACATTTTATACATTGATAAAAAGAAAAAAATCCAAATACTCTTGTTAATGTTATCTCAATTCCAACAGGATGTACCAAGAATGTTTCAAAAAGAAAACAACAGTAAGATAATTAGTAAAGCAAAGACATATACATTTGCTACTATCAAAACCCAAGTCAAGAATGATCAACTGTTGAAACAAAAAAAAAATATCCTTTTACTTTGGACAGACTTCCATAATCTCTATTAATCTGTTATAATACACGAAGATAATTTATTAACAGCAAATATAAACTACATTATAACAAATAACTTGGGAAACAAACCTGTTGTGAGAATCCACAGAAGAACTGGTACAAAAACTGTGGCAAAATGAAACAAAGGTTCTAGAAAAAAATTAAGACAATTGTTAATATTTTCACTTGATCAGCATTATAAACTAAATTGGGAACTTGTACTTCAGTCTCTAGACATTCCTAAATCATTCTAATGTCAGAATGCAATAAATCTCTATTCCAGAGACATCAGGAAACAGCTCAAAAAGAAATTCATATTAAGAGCAACTTTTGCCCTACCAAGGCAGAAAAGGATCTCACTTACTTTATGAGAACCTCTTGCTAGTATTCTTCTTCTAGAGAAGAAATGAGCTCATCCAATATGAATACCTAATGACACTGTACCTTAAATATCAGTTAGATTTGCAAAATCATCATAAGGTAGACCGACAATGCTGTAAGAATATATTTAAAATCAATTAATGCCAATAAATAGTTAGGAAACTGTCATAGACTATGTTGATACTAACAGTATCAACAAATGCTTTATTGCCTTTATTATTGCCTCATCAAACAATAAACGTATCATTATGGAACACCTACTATATAGGGCCAACTTCTTTCTCCTAAGGGACTTATTGTTTAATTAGGAAAATACTGAAAATACGCAGATTATAAAAATATGAACTGGAAATTCATAAGGCAATAAAAGCCAATGAGTGTGACTATAAAATACTGAAATTAATGAATTCAGGCAAAACTACCAGGACTAGAATTTTCAAATGAGTGCTATCCTTCAAAGTAGGCTGTGGGCTTGAGAGCTGCTGTTATTTGTTCATGATGTCTATGGACTTCTCTTTAGGAAGCCCCTTCAAAAGCCTACTTTTGAGTCATGTCAGAAAAACAATTTCCTCCCTTTTGTCACACATTCTCACTTAGGTAATATCACCAGACTCAGCTCTGGAAGACTGGAAGCTGTTTTTAAAAATCAAATGCAGGCTGGGCCCGGTGGCTCATGCCTGTAATCCTAGCACTCTGAGAGGCTGAGGCGGGTGGATCGCTCAAGGTCAGGAGTTCAAAACCAGCCTGAGCAAGAGCGAGACCCCGTCTCTACTACAAATAGAAAGAAATTAATTGGCCAACTAATATATATAGAAAAAATTAGCCGGGCATGGCGGCATGTGCCTGTAGTCCCAGCTACTCGGGAGGCTGAGGCAGGAGGACGGCTTGAGCCCAGGAGTTTGAGGTTGCTGTGAGCTAGGCTGACGCCACGGCACTCACTCTAGCCTGGGCAACAAAGTGAGACTCTGTCTCAAAAAAAAACAAAAACCAAAAAAAACAAAAAACAAATGCAACCTTAAAGGATGAACATCTGACATGGCTGAGGATATTTAAATGGATATACTACAGGCTCTGGAGGATGTCCTAAACAGCGGAGGCTCTACATGTTTTTCAATCACCCCTGCAGCATGAGAACTAATGTCAGAACCCCCATGGTCATCACCTGGAAGAGCAAGACTCATTTATTTGTATGTATCAATTCTGGTACAAGGCAAAAACACTGTCCACAGCATTTCTAGAGTCATGTTTTATGAAAAAAATAGGTGTTCTAAGATTGGAAGAGGCAGAGCTCAGTGGAGTAACTTATGAAAAGCAGGGTATCTAACTCCCCCACTAGAATGTAAGTTCCATCAGAACAGGACATTGCCCATTTTATTCCATGGTGAAACCTAAACAGTGCTTGACACATGGTAACACATTGAAAACATATTTGTTGACTGCATAAAGTCAGAACTTGAACTAGGTCTTTAAGACAAATAGGATATGATGATAGCAGGAACCAAGGCAAGGCAGTATGTATATTAAACATGTATAATAAGGCAGGGTCAAACTGTGGGGTGCCTTAAAAGCCACACTAATGCTGAAACAATAGAGAACAAATTTTCTAACAGAAACACTGAAAAGTGGCATTCTTTAAACATTAACCTGGTTCAGTTATGCAAGGAGGATTAAATGTTGAAACAGAAGGCAGGAAGATCTGTCACTAAAGTACGCCAGGAGTGAGGCAATAATAATTTGAAGATGCAATGACAGGAAAGGAGGAAGGAAATACTTCTCAGCTTAGCCAATGAGGGTTGAACATATTAGAAATCCTCTTGGGACAAAAGCCAGCAATAAAAAAGAAATACTGCTAAGTCAGTAACCAAGATGATAATGGGCATACAGATACTAATAAAGATAGAGGACATCATCTACCTAAATAATCCCCTATACTGGGAACAGGAATTTGTCAATTTTAGATCACTGATCAACATTTGCCATTTTAATGTTTGTTTTATTCTCCTAACAGAGCATCCCTTCCATCTGGTGGCAGTTGCTTGAATTGCAGGCCAAGATCCAAAAGAGGCAAACCAAGCCTTTAGAATAGGATCTGATTACCAGGCAAATCTGTAAGGCAAATCTTCATGAGATCTCCTACCAGGTGGAGGTTCAGAGAGACTAACCATTTATTCTCATGTAGGTCTGTTAGTTATTGAATGCAAGGTCCAAATAGACCCTAACTATGATACAGAAAGAGTCCTGGGCTTCAAGTAAATGAGCCTATGGTAGAAATCTAGCTCTATCACCTCATAGCTGGAGAGCCAAAGGCAAGTTTTTATCTCTCTGAGCCCTACTTTGCACATATTTTAAATGGAAGTAATACTATTTGCCTCAAAAGAAATTTGTAAAGATTAAAGAAGAAAATAAAGGGATTTTGTAACTAGCAAAGTACCTTACACATACTGGATTAATCATCATCACCATCATCATTATAATCCTCCTCCTTTTCAGTGTTTGGCCTGGCTACCAGTTGATACTGACTGGAGGAGTCTTAGCAAATCTGTGAACCTGAGTTCACGGTTATATTTATTTTACAAAATATAAAGTTAATAGGAAAGACCTAGAGTTGATTATAGACAACTGACACAGAAAAGCAGTTGCTGAGTTTTCTCTCCTGTGAAATATAGATGATGAAATTCAAATGCCATAATTGCTTCAATCATTTAAAACTAGAACATACACTTGATACTATACCTACAACTGGAATCTAATTAAGAAATTTGGTAAATTCTATTTCCTGGTAGACAATATCAGGTATGCAGACCCAGTCTAATGTGTACTATAATGGTTGGTAGTAAAAGAAAACCAAGGTATTTGTTGCAGAAACAACCTCAGTGTCCAATAATGGGAGCTTAAGATATTGTACAATTATGTTTCAGAAAATATTAAACCGAGAAAAATGCTCACAATATATTATGTGAAAAGGCAAAGTGTGAAACAATATATATTGCATTAAATAGGGAAAAGATTTCTTTTGGGGGTGATGGAAAAGTCTTGGAATTAGATAGTGGTCATGGTTGCACAGGAGAGTGAATATACTAAAAGTCATTGAATTGTACACCTTAAAATGGTAAATTGTTATGTGAATTATTTCTCTAAAAATTAAAAATAGAAAACCTGTATGTAGTATATAAAATATACATATACATTAATTTGTATAATAAAAGATCAGAAGGTCACATAACAAAATGTTACCATTGGTTCTCTCAGTTGGTATGCTTATGAACAATCAGAGATGACTGTAAAAAATTTCATTTTAGAAAAGGAATTATATATACATTTAAAAGAGAGACTTGAGAAAAGCCATTTTTGCACGATTCTTTTTGTTTAGAGCATTAAGTCACTAACATTCCCAGAAAACCTCTCAGAAAATCTCTTGAGTAGACCTTTTGGTGTAGCTCTTTTAGAACCACGCCAATGTTTCACATACTCAAAAAATAAAAAATTAAAATAAATCAGGACTAGAGGGAAATGACCCAAATGGAATGCAAACAAAAATAACCTAACTGTATTTCAAACAAATAACCTAACCATAACTGAAGTAGTGGAAAGGAAAACAAAAAGAATAAGCAACTTTAGAAAACAGTACTTTGACTATATACTCTAAGGCTAAATATAAAAAGAACTGCACACATTTGTGACAACATGGATGAACCCATGAACCCAGAGGACACTGTGTTAAGTGAAATAAGCCAGGCACAGAAAGACAAAAACCTCATGATCTCACCTATATGTGGAATCTAAAATAGTCAAACTCATAGAAGCAGAGCAGTAAAATGGTAGATACCTGGGCTGGGGAGAGGGGCTGGAGAGAGGTTGGTCAAAAGATAAAAAATTTCAATTAGAGATCTATCTTATCTCTGGGATATAGTAATAAAAACATACTGTATACTTGAAAATTGCTAACAGTAAATTTTAAATGTTCTTATCACAAAAAAAGATAAGCAGTGAGGTAATATATGTGTTAATTAGCTTGATTTAGCCATTCCACAACGTATATATATTAAAATATCACATTACCATAAATATATATAATTTTGTCAATTAAAAAATGGCACACAAATAACATACTCAAATCAGTTTGTTTCTCAGGAGTATAAGTTAGCAATTATGAAACTACTTTAAGCATATTTTAGGATTGAGCAAATAAGTGTACATATTGTGGATAAGGAGAACCATGTTTCTCGACACTGGAGAAATGGTTACAAATAAAGAAGAGGGAAAAGCTAGAATGCACTCTGCTGTTGGGACCGGAATCAAAGATATTATTTAAGTTTAGTTCATATTTTTTTTTTTTTTTGAGACAGAGTCTCGCTTTGTTGCCCAGGCTACGGTGAGTGCCGTCGCGTCAGCCTAGCTCACAGCAACCTCAAACTCCTGGGCTCAAGCAATCCTCCTGCCTCAGTCTCCCAAGTAGCTGGGACTACAGGCATGCGCCACCATGCCCGGCTAATTTTTTTCTATATATATTAGTTGGCCAATTAATTTCTTTCTATTTATAGTAGAGACGGGGTCTCGCTCTTGCTCAGGATGGTTTCGAACTCCTGACCTTAAGCCATCCACCTGCCTTGGCCTCCCAGAGTGCTAGGATTACAGGCTCGAGCCACCGCGCCCGGCCAGAAGTTTAGTTCATATTGATCCTTTTGATTCCAGTCTAACATACATGTGTATACATACATACATTCTTACTTAACATCATCAATAGTTTCTTGGAAACTGCAACTTTAGGTGACATGATGTGTAAGGAAACCAATTGTTTTTTCTCATCAACATTATAACAAAATGCCATGACTATAAATGAAACGATGTCATTCGTCATTGTTTCACTTAAAGTCACAGTTTCCAAAAACCTATCAATGTTGTTAAGTGAGGACTTATATATATACACAGATATAGATTTTTTTTTGTGTACACCTTCTATCTACTGAGAAGGCTTAGCACCAATTTCACCCAGCAGCAATGAATACAAATAGCACACAGATTTTGATTTTTAAATACTATTTGCAAATAAAAGGAACTAGTGATCCCTGGAAAAATGTCTACATCCAGGGCTGGGGCAGAGAAGATAACATCCTATGGGACCAGAAAATAAAGAAGTCTTCAAAAATGGTAGGGATAAGGACATGACAATTTGAGGAACAAAATAAATAATGATAGCAGTGGATTTTAACTCATAAAATGAAACATCTGTTTTAGTAGCAGAATCTTCTTTTCAAATGAAATTATACAGAGCAAAGTGGAAGGGTCTTAAGACACCCAAAACAACATTTGAACCAAATTATACATATTAACATTATTATTAATGAGGCATTTTGACAACACGTGCCTCCTGATACGATACGCTAAAAAGGTTATTACAACATCACCTCTGTAGTGTTTGTGCCCAAAACACATAACTTGAATCTAATAATAAGCAAACATTACAGAAGCCCAAGTGGAAGGACATTCTACAAATTAATTACCCAGTACTCTTCAAGAATGTAAAAACCATGAAGACAAAAAAGACAGGAACTGTCCTATATTAAAGAAGACTAAGGAGACATGATAGCTTAAATGCAAAGGTGATTTTGAAAAGAAATGGGCCACAAAAAGAACATCTGTGGGACCACTGGCAAAATTTGAATACAGTATGCAGACTAATTAATAGTAATGTGCTGATTAATACCAATTTGCTGATCCTGATAACTATGTTGTAGGTTATCTACAGCAATAACAGTTGATGAAGCTGAGCAAAGACATGAGAATTATTTCACTAACTTTGCAACTTTGTTAAAGTCTGAAATTATTTCAAAATGAAAAGCCAAAAAAAGTTTTTTTTTTTTTTTTTTTTAGACAGAGTCTCACTTTGTTGCCCAGGCTAGGGTGAGTGCCATGGCGTCAGCCTAGCTCACAGCAACCTCAAACTCCTGGGCTCAAGCAATCCTCCTGCCTCAGCCTCCCAAGTAGCTGGGACTACAGGCATGCACCACCATGCCTGGCTAATTTTTTGTATATATATTTTTAGTTGGTCCATTAATTTCTTTCTATTTTTAGTAGAGACAGGGTCTCGCTCAGGCTGGTTTTGAACTCCTGACCTCAGCAATCCGCCCGCTTCGGCCTCCCAGAGTGCTAGGATTACAGGCGTGAGTCACCGCGCCCGGCCCCAAAAAAAAGTTTTTAAACTTCATTTACCAGAACACAGGACAGGAGATAAAGTTATGGCCCACATCAGCTTAAAATGATTTGCACACCTTAGAACAGTTACTTCACTTTCATGTATGCCAAGTTCATTATACATAAAATAAGTAAGTGGCTTTAACTATATTCATGAATTCTAAATTGTGCTCTAGGAAATCTCTGGGGCAGGAAAGGGAGGTTGAACAAGTAAGCAGCCCTGGGAAATCACACGTAAGTCAATGCAATCCTGCTTCTATCTACTTTATCTGGGAAATTTCATTTGAACACAGAATTCTGCTACTGGAAAATGTAGCTTGAAATACTATTTAGCATAAAAAGGGAACCAACTATTAATACATGACATAATATGGATGAAGCTCAAAAATATTAAGCTAAGTTAAATAGGCCAGACACAGAATCCATTTATAAGAAGTTCTAGAACAGGAAAAACAACTGTGTATATTACATATATTATATTTACATCTTTATATTATCTGTCATACATACTACTACATACATACGGCACAGTAATATAGATCAGATCAGTTGTTGTTTGGAGCAAGGGCAGAGGACATTGGGAAGGAATATAATGAGAATTTTCTGAGGTGATGGAAATATTCTATTTTTTAACTGGGATGGTGGTTGTATGGATGTATACATTTGTAAAAACTCATGGAACTGTATAATTTTAATGAATGCACTTTATTATGTTTAATTTATAGCTCAATCAAATTAACTTTAAAAATTCATCTCAAATCTCTTGCATCAAAGGTTTCTGATTCATTAAATAGACCACCTCTACTTTGATGACTAGACTATAAATTTCAGTATCAAGACAGCAAAAGCAGCATGAAAAAAGAAAGAATAAAACCATGACCAATCTGAGCTAATGCTGAATTAAACAGAAATTAAATCACAAATATTTTATCACATACCTTATAGAAGAAATACTGTACAAGGTGTGCTATTCTCACATAATATAGATGTCCATGAGCCAAAAGCAATTTCTTTAAATGTTTAAACTTTGGAACAGAATAATCGCTATTCCTGGCTGCTTGGCGACCTTCTTTGCCTTTAACACCTAAAAAGAAAATATCTCTATAAGGTGAGTACTTTATAGAATAAGCAACACCCTGGTTTATTTTCATATTTTCAACTTGCTTAAATGTTATAGTTCAATTGTATAGTCTAGCTTTGCTTTTTTTTTTTTAACCAAAAAGGGCTTTCTTTAACAGTGACACTGAACCTTACCAAATAAAAGGAAACTAAGTTTAATTGATAACCACTTATTTGTTACACAATATAAAAGTATTAAATGAATCATTATTTCAATCATTAAAAGGCAAACATTATCTGGAAGCAAAAAATTCAACCTGAAAATTATTGTTAAGGTACTCATTAAGTACTTAATTGTGCATGACACTAGACTAGGTGCTATATTAAGGTAATTCAGAAACCTGCAGTTTGTGCTCTAAGAGCTCAATGAGAATGTGGTGAAATCCTCACGCTGAATGAAATTCTAACTAGCAGCCCAAGGGTCCCATAAGTTCAAACAGCTTTGGGCCATTTCCATGATGAATAACCAACGAGGGGAACTTAAGAATTCTACACTAAACAGTACTACTTCCAAATGGAAAAAAGAACTGAGAATCTAAACTGTAGTACAATGATTTCCAAAATATTAATTCTATATCTGCCCCCAGCCCCCTGCCAAAAAAAAAAAAAAAGTTCCCTGGGGTATTAGGTTTGTTGCCTAACAGCACCCTGACAGGGAATATGGTAGAGGTGGTAGAAAAGCTGTTGTTGAATATCAACATATATATTCAACACTATAGCTCAAACCACCCATAAATACTGCCATGTTGAACACCAGCCAAGCAATTATCATTTCTTAGCCCTAAACAGTTAAGAATCTCAAAAGATATAGTGCAGAATCATAAGCAAGCAATCTGGGCAAGGGCAGAAAATCAATAAAATTTCATGCATACTGTCAAAGTGAGAGCTAAACAATCAACTGTGTTGCCAGTAGGTTTGGGAAATTCACTTTACTTGGCTAATCTAAAAATACCTCTAACTTTGTATTGCTATATACCTACCAGGGGTAGGACTTTGGGATGGACATATTCCATTATCAAATAAAGGCTTTCATTCAATTAACAATTATCATTACAAAATTCAAATTTAAGATGAGCAACCAAAACAATCTCTCTAGAATATGAGACCACTCTACCTAAAAGCAATAATGATACCTTACAGCTGCTAACTCATTAGAAGTTTCTTACCTATTCCCACATGGGATTCCAAGATCATACTAACATCATTGGCACCATCACCTATCGACAGAGTTATTGGGCTGCCTTTTAAATTCTTCACCATTCTGACAATCTAAATATTAAATACAAAAGAGGTATAGAAAAGGTCAAAACAGAATGTGAGACTGGACTACTTTAGGGATTTATGCCTCATTCACATTTGTAAATTGTAGCCTTGAAAACAGAAAGGTAGCTTGTGCATATACAGTCATCCCTCAGTATCTGCAGGGGATTGGCTCCAGAACTCTCCATGGATACCAAAGTATCCCATGTACTTTAAATCATCTGTAGATTACTTAAAAAATAATATCTAATATAATGTAAATGCTATGTAAATATTTGTTTTTAAATTTGTATTAATTTTATTGTTATTTTGTATTATTTTGGGTTTTTTTCCTAATATCTTTGATCCATGGTTGTTTGAATCCACAGATGCAGGACCCATGGATACAGAGGGCCAACTGTATATACAATAGTCTTGAATTCTCAGAAGCAGAAGACAGCCATTGAAAATGTAACATTAGCTCCCACTTGCTTCTGGCTCTGTGCATGCATGAACTATCAAAAATCTTGCCTCTCACACATATTGAAGATCAACACATTTCCCTCTTTTGTCATTGCATAAAGTGTCCTTTCAGATCAGATGTTGAATGTGTGACAGTGGAGGCCAGAAAGCTGATTTGGGGTAACATGTACAGAGCCACAAGAACAAAAATGGGAAGTCAGAGAATAACATTTTTGGTTACCTCTTACTCTCTCTTCCCTGCTGACACTTCCACCTTCCCTAGCAGCACCTCAACCCTTATTCCTAGGAACTTAACTAATGTTAAATTCTTATACCCATCTGGTTTCCAACTAAACTTTACTAAATCTCTTACTACTCAATATGGTTTGACCTCTCCTATAGGTAGCTATATTTTAAAAGGGGCATTTTAAAGGGGGAGAGATTTGCAGAAAGTTGCCCAAGATATGTGTACAAAGCCTGTCACTATTCCCGGAGCATTTATTTAAGATGTGTAAATGCTACTATGGAGTTCAGTGCTGTGTTCATGGCAGGTACTGAATAAAATGTTAATAGCTGGTATTAAAACACTTCTGCCTTGGGGTTCTCCAAATCCTCCTGACAGTTACTTGTGGCAAGTGTACTGGGTAAGCAGCTGCCCTCCTACCTTATGTTTTAGAAAATAATCGCTGTTTAATATGGCAACCCTCAAAACCCCTTGCAATCTAGCAGTTTTTAAAAAGTTTAAATAATTCAGTAGCTAAATAATGCTTTGCAAAAATTCTGTCCTCACAATTTCTCTGACCAGTTAACATAAATAAAATCCATTTTCAACATAACTGAAGTGATTAAAAAAATTATATGATGCTAAAGCACTCTGCAGTTATTTCTTTTAACAGAATTCAATCAGGTTTTAGTTATATTAAACTGCACCAACATACACATATACAAACCATGTACAACAAAAATGATGTGACTGTAAAATGTCAGCTTTCCCCCAGTCCCTCCCCTCATTTGGTTTTTCTTAAAAACTTTTTAAAAGAAAGTCAGAAATAACCTGTAAGTTAAAAGATTCAAAGATGAAATTAGAGAACCCAAACTAAATTTGGTTTTGGTGGGCTATGATACTGGTTAACTAATAACAATTATACCATGTACAGTAATGATTTTCACCTCAAGGAAGAAAAACTGCTAGGAAAGGTCAAAGGAAGGCAATAAAATTATCAGGGGTGGCAGCTTCTGCATGAAAATATAGATTAAAGAGAGTAAAACTTGTCATTGTGGAAACATAAAAGGATATATGATCATGGACTATAAAATAATGAAGGACTCATACAGGTAAACAGGGAGTTTTTCACTGAGTCCCAGGTCAACTGGATTAAGATCTTCCCTTCAGGCCGGGCGTGGTGGCTCACGCCTGTAATCCTAGCACTATGGGTGGCCGAGGCGGGAGGATTGCTTGAGGTCAGGAGTTCAAAACCAGCCTGAGCAAGAGCGAGACCCTGTCTCTACTATAAAATAGAAAGAAATTAATTGGCCAACTAATATATATAGAAAAAATTAGCTGGGCATGGTGGCGCGTGCCTATAGTCCCAGCTACTCAGGAGGCTGAGGCAGGAGGATCGCTTGAGCCCAAGAGTTTGAGGTTGCTATGAGCTAGGCTGATGCCATGGCACTCACTCTAGCCTGGGCAACAAAGAGAGACTCTGTCTCAAAAAAAAAAAAAATCTTCCCTTCAACCTCTAAGATAACTTTCATGAAAAAGAAATAATTTTACCAAAAAATTATTTATTCATCAACTATAACTTCTTGCAATGCACTATGGAAAGCAATGTGCTAAAATCTAAAAGAGATATAAGGCTTGGTCACATATCTTAAGAAGCATATAATGAAGTAATAGAGATAGGTTATGAATACAAGAATATTAGATAACCAGATTAACAACACGAGGTAACAAAACATAACATCTGTGTAGGAATACATGATATTGTCGCCCACATAAGGCGGCCTATGATGTCATTGAAGTGAGAAGACACTAGAATGATTAGGAATGATTTTACAGAAGGAAGAGTGATCTGATGTAAATCATGAACTATCAGTCAGATTTAAATGGACAGCGAAGGCTGGGCGTGGTGGCTCACACCTATAATCCTAGCACTCTGGGAGGCTGAGGCGGGTGGGTGGATCATTTGAGCCCAAAAGTTTGAAGTTGCTGTGAGCTCAGCTGACACCATGGCACTCTAGCCTGGGCAACAGAGTGATACTCTGTCTCAAAAAAAAAAAAAAAAAAAAAAAAAAAAGTCAGGGAAGAGGGAAATATTCTATTCCAGAGAAAGAGAATAGCATATACAAAGCCACACAGCCAGGTAAATACAGTACTTGCTGAGAAAATAGATCTGGCTTGATCAATCAATGAGTTTTTTATATAGATGGCATGGACAAATATATCTGGTGCCAGATCAATAGGTAGTGATATTATGAAAGTGACAGCAGGATGCAGGAAGAACTGGAGGAAAGCAAGACTGGGCAAAGAGAAATTATGTGACTAGTTACAGGTGGAGTTCAATGAGCTATTTAAAGGCCTGGCCCTGGAAAGTAATGAAAAGAAAGGAATAAAAGACAGTACTAAAAAATGGACAGAGATCACATGGAAGAATAAAACATGAGGGAAGTCAACACAGACTTCAAGGTTTTCAATCTAGAAACCTGAAAGTACAGTGAGCTCAGTCATAGAAATAGAAGACGACAAAGAAAATGCTGGTTGGGCTCTAGAGAAGGCAGAGTTGGGGTGATAATGACACACCCAAAATGACGTGTTTTGGTATGCAGTTGAAGAAGTAGAACCCCAAAGATTTGTATTGGACATAGTGACTTGAACATCACCTATTTGGACATGACAAATGAGTAGGTGAAGCCCTTGAAAAAGTGACTATAGTGAGAGCAATAAAACAGACAAAGGACTAAAACCCAAGGGGCACCATGTTCAGGGTGGAACAAGCAGTATGTGGTTAGGCATTCACATACCTGCCTGGGCAGAGAAGTAGTCAAAACCCAGGTAAGCAATTTAAAGCTGTAGCTAGCAACGGTGAAAAGAAAGAAAAGAGAGAGAGAGAGAGAGAGAGAGAGAGAGAGAGATGAGATAAGATAGATCTATCACTTCTGGAGGCAAGCTTCTAACTGATGGGACAGATTTCTATGGATACTGGCTGGATCTGATTCCCCAGCTGGGGCCAAGTGAGGTTTTAAGACTGTAGAGAAGAAGAGCCTGTGATTGCATTGGGGACTGTGAGCTAGAAGGTAGACAGAGGCAAAGCCCCAAGTAGGAGGGGCTATGCATGTGTGTGTGGTGTGGTGTGGTATGTAAGGAGAAGCCACAAATGCAGCCATCCTCAGGTCTAGTACAATTGGCTAAAGAATCTGAAGCAGCAAAATTACATATGTAAGAATATCCTGCAGTGAAAAAATATGTAAATGAGACTCTAAGTTTCCTGGTACCTAGTGAACACAAAGAAGCAAGATAAGGCAGATCAATTTTGGCTGTGTGACCTGGAAAAGGTAGCATATAGGAGGTGGCTCTTGAGTTGGGTTTTATTATGAATAAAATTTCTTTAGACCAGGGGAATTCAGAGAGAATTCCAGATGAGGAAATGATATAAGAAAAGTTTAGAAAGCTGCCTTAGCATATCACATGGAAGAGACACAAAGAGAGAACAACCAACAAGAGTGGAGCATTTATGCTGGATAAGGGAGTGGTAATGGACACAACCATGTAGAGACACATTAAGGGACACTGGGGGAGCCCCAAGTGCCACATTCAGTCAACTACCCATCAGTCCTAAGGGACTATGAAACCACTTGAAAGTGTCTGAGAAAGAATATATCATGGGAAGAGTAGTGTTTGAATAATATTAATTTGGAAGTGTGGGAAAAGAGATTGAAGATGCGTGAGTGAAAGCGAGGAGACCAGTGAAGAGACTAAATCAAACAGTTTGTGTGTAAAGTTATGAGTTTAGACTAGGCTGGCAGTAAAAGGTTTCAAAAGACGGCACAAAATGAGAGCTATGACAAAAGGTGGGATTAACAAGTTATGATGACTAAATATGGAAGGAGAGGAGGAAGATCAAAGGTAGTTTTAAGACTTAAGGAACAAAGAAAAATGGCACCGGTAACAGGAATAATAGACAAGGGAAAAACCAAACCAGTGTGCATAGAAAATTACAAGATCTGTCTTGCACATGAGAATTTAATGTGACAGTAGGGAATCCCATATGGAGCTGTCTAGCAGACAGCTAGAAATAGGAGACTGAACGTCAAGAAAAAGTCAGGGCCAGAGATTTCTTCTGAATGCAGACTGGAGTTCACTGCAGGCTTGAACTCCTGGGCTTAAGCTCTCCTCCTGCCTCAGCCTCCTGAATAGCTGGAACTATAGGTGTGTGCCACCAAGCCCATCTACTTGTTTCTTTATTTTTGGTAAAGATGGGGTCTCGACATGTTGCCCAAGCTGTTTCAAACTCCTGGCCTCAAGCAATCCTCCCTCCCGCCTCAGCCTCCCAACGTGATGAGATTACAGGCATGAGCCACTGAGCCTTGCTAGGGCCAGAGATTTATCAAAGAAAGTCAGAGAAATGGATGTCTTTATCCAAAGAGATAGTCCATAAAGTAAAAAACAGAGATTAACTTTGCCCTAGAAAAAACTGATAATTAGGGAGAAGACAGAGGATAATGCAAAATGAAAAAGACAGTAGGTTGACAAAGAGGATAAAAAACACCAGCACCACATGCTATTACAGAAACAAAGGAAGGAGAGTTTTAAGGAGGACATAATTGATAGTGTCAACTGCAAAGGAGAAATGAGAAAGAGAATGGTAGACAGCACAAGGGATTGGGCCGTTTGCTTGCAAGCAAGACAACAGAGTAAGAAGAACAAAAAGAATGCATGGGGCTAATGTCATAGGGGACCTAGAAGCAGTGGAACAGAGGCAGCAGGCATGAAGACAGCAGGCATGAAGCTCTCATTAGAGAGAGAAGTCTGGAACATGAACAATTGGACAGCAAACTTGAGACAACAAGGTGCAGCATGGGTTTAATTCAAAATGGGGGAAGACTTCTGAGTTTGATCACAAAGAGGAAGACAGAGAAGAAGAAATTATACAGTAATAATGGCTATTTGAAGAGGAAAAAAACTTAAAAGAAAACCAAACATTTGCACATGTGTGTATAGAAGTATCCAGAATGGAACATTAACTAATGTCCAGAGTTACCTGGGCTTTCTGTAATGGCGCCATCCGGCAGCAGAGCACTGCAGTACACTTCATACAAATTTGTAGGAAAATGTTTTTGTAATTGTTTGAACTAGAGTCTTGGCTAGAATTTAGTATGAGTGACAATGTGGAGCCATCGATGATTAATCCATATTCCTGATGTTCTGTCCATGCTCTGAAAAAGAAAACCAATGCTGTGTTTGAAACTATTATACATTTCTATATAGAATCTTGATTTTTTTTTTTAACCACAAAGAAGTGGGTCCCAGATAAGATGAGTTATCAATCTGGTTACTTGACCCTTCGTTCTAAAGAAGCAACTGCCTCTAATAATGGCACAACAGTGGCTTTCAATCACATCTTTGAGACTCAAGCTGCTCATGTAGATGATGGTAACTTCTATTTAATAAAAGGTATAGAAATAAAGGAGGTTGAGCAGTGTACCTTTGTATAAGAAACTCAAGGTAAATATTTGGAATTACAGATCAGTCACTCAAACTGATATAAAGACAAATCATCAGTTAATTGAAACTCCCTAACAACATGGGGAAAAGACAAAATGGTTTTAGGGTAAACAAATCATAGAGACCTTTCTCTAATATATTTGCCTGAGTGAAAATACCTATCCATAGAAGATGGCCTCTCAAATATGACAGCATCTAGAAGACATGATGTTCATTAAAGAATGTTATACAATACTGATATATATTCCTTAAATAAGTATTATTTATACTAGCTTAGCAGTTCCCAACCCTAATCTTCCTGTAAGAAATCTCTGGGTGGCTTTAAAAAATTGTCCATGCCTGGGATCCATCCCCAGACCAATTAAATCACAGTATCTTGGGCAGGGCTTGGCTATACACAGGTATATTTTAAAAGCTCCCTAGGTGGTTCTTATTACCTAAGATATTTAAGAAAAATATATGGGGGAAAACTTACAACTGAGAAAATTCTAGCAATTAAAATTCTTTTTGCAATTAAAAAAACAGTGGTTATTCAGTTTTTGTTCAGGGAATCTTGTGAGCAATTTGAGAACCACGGTGGTAGAAGCATTAGACACAGAAGGATCTCATAGTTATAGATTCAGCTATCTAATTTAATGCCACAAAACGTTTATGGTACAAAGGAATCACTTGGGGATCTTGTAAAAATGCAGATTCTGTTTCAGTAGGTCTGGGGTGGGACATGAGATTTTGCATTTCTAATAAGCTGCCCAGTGACAATGGAGCTGCTATGCTATGGACTAAACTTTGAACAGTGAGGGCCTAATATACCTCAACACTCCTTTATTCCATATTTCTTTAGTGTATACTGCTAACACCATAAAATATTGTACTTATCCATATTTTGCTTCATAATTTTATAAGTACTTTTTATTCACTAATTAAAGAAACAACCATCATGTGTTCTCTGTCTTTGTAACCCTACTCATATAGCTGACTTACTGGCCAGAAAACAGCAGCTGAATAATCAATCAAGCAATATTTGTAAACGCCAACTATAACCAGGTAGTATAGGAGAATACAAAGAATTATTGACTAAAGAGATTTTCTATTCTCTAAAAAAAAAAAAAAATAGAGTGACAGAAGCATACATGAGGGAACATACTGGACCAAACAAGATAATAAATGGTTAACACCCAGTTATTGAGTTAATAAACCACACAGGAAAGAACAGTGGGGCTCTTGGTGGTGTGATATCTAAAGTGGGACTTGAAAGATAGGGAAGAAAGAGGTGAAGGGAGAGAATGAATGTTGTGGTGCACTGGGAAAGCAAAGTGAAAACGTCACTTAAGGCCTTTAGTGTACCTGAATCTCTGGATAATGGAGAACCACTACAGGTTTCAGAGCATGGTTGTGATATAAATAGTACTTCACTTAAAGACCACTCACCTGGCAGAGGGGCATAACGGATCTGAGATGCAAGGTGCTAGGCCTCTGATGTGGGGCACTTGTGGTAAGAATGGGAACAGGATAAGGCTTGGAGGTTGATTTGAAGTGGAAGGGGCAAAGGAGCAGAAGAAGCTGGCAAAGGTGATTCTGGGTCTGAAGCCTCTGTAACTGTGGAACAATCTGTGCCCAACTCCAAACAGATAATCAGGAAGAGGAGTTGATCTGAGGTGGTGATGGTGTAATAAGTTTTCCATACACCTTGGCTTTTGCAAAAGTGCCCCAGAGCTGTTAAATGGTGTTATGAACTGAACTGTGTTCCTCCAAAGTTCACATGTTGAAGCCCTACCCCCAATGTGATGTTATTTGGAGATGGAGCCTTTAGGAAGTGATTAAGTTTAGATAAGGTCAAGAGGGTGGGACCTTCATGATGGGAATTGTGCCTATTATGGACTGAATTATGTTTTTCCAAAATGTATCTGTTGAATCCGTAACTCCCAATATTATGGTATTAGAAGACAGGGCCTTTGGGAAGTAATTAGGTTTAGATGAGTTAATGAAGGTGGGGTTCCCCTGATTGGTTTACTGCCCTTAGAAGAGGAAGAGACACTAGAACTCCCTCTGCCAAGTGAGGACACAGGAAGAAGGCAGCCATCTGCAAGCAAGGAAGAGGGCCCTCATCAGAAACCAACCATGCTGGCACTCCAGTCACAGACTTTTAGCTGCTAGAACTGTGAGAAATAAATTTCTGTTGTTTAAGCCACCAAATTTATGGTATTTTGTTATGGCTGCCTAAGCAGACTAAAACAAAAGGACAAGTAAAATTCATATAATTTGGACTGTCTTTATAAGTACTATTTAGCTAAAGAAAGGAAATATTTCTCATGGACAATTAATAAAAACCTATTTATTCTCACTGATGCCCAAATACCAGAACAACAACAGTTGTTTTAGAACTGGCCATAGCTTTGTGAATTTGGACTATTAAATTTTTTTATTTATTTCAGCATATTATGAGGGTACAAATGTTAGTGGGCTATTCATTTTTAAGGCTAAGTTTAAACATTAGAGAAGAGGATCTAGATATAGCATAGTTTAAAAGGACGGGCCCTGGAATTCGATAGACTTGTTCAACTCCTTAATACTTGAGTAATCTTGAACAAGCCATTTCATCTTGCTGAGCTTCAGCTTCCCTATCTGTAAAATGAAAAAAATATGATTGCCTAATTCGGTTGTTAATATTGATTAAATGAGATTAATCATACAAAGAACTTAACACTGTTTGTGGATCATGAAGTGTGCTCTAGAAATGAAAAATAATATTACTCAGGGGTCTCTTGTGTTAGTGCAGGCAAATTCAATAGCATTCCAAAAAAGGAAATCAATTTGCTTATGACCAAGGTAAATTCAAGTAATTGGCTCAGACAAGGCTGAGCCTTGATCAATGGGAAGTATAGAAGATATACTGCTGGGCATTGAATTATTATGGCTAAGTGGTTTTACTTGACACTCTTAAATTCCACAAGTTCTTCCTAAACAGCTAGCTGAAAGCAGAGTCAATATGGCCATGTTAGCAAGTATTTGGTTCCCTTTGGAGCTCTGGGAAATGAGAATCCATAGAAAAGTGTTCTAGAACTCAAAGTGAATGGAAACTATTATAGAGAATGATTTTATTACATTCAATTTAAGAGACCATGAAAAGGAATATTTTTTCTTAAAATAGACCAGGCCAGAATATCAATATTGAATACCCATACTATAAACATTTAAAAATTGAACTATTTTTCTAAACCCTGAGAAATTCTGAGTTTTCTTTTCAGTTAAAAGAGAGGTGGAAAGTGCCAAATAATTTCAAACAGGCCATTAGCCAACTCTCAGGGAAGATTTTAACTTGTAAGGATAAAACACCTACAAATGGAAAATGATAAATTACAGAAAATCAGCTTGTTGCTTAAACAGCTATGATTTACATCTGTACCAATGTCTAAATATAAGAAACTGATGTACTTTCTTACTTTTTAAGGCTTCTAGTACTTTTAGGAAATTCATGCAGCAACTTCTTACGATATTCTGTCAACAATTCATGTAATCGATCTTCCTTCCTTTCACTTTCTTCAATAGTTTTTGTGGTTAGTTCCAAGAGCTCAGTGTTGGTTTGGAAAAGGCGGCAGGCATAGCACGTGGATTTTGCTGTCTCCATCTTGTCTCCAGTAAGCACCCAGACTTTTAGGCCTGCTGCATGTAGAGCTTCAATGGTCTCCGCAGCTTGATCTTGTAGCCTGGTAACACAAAGGAAACCCTGTTATCCTCTAAAATGCCTTATCAAGATTCTACAAAAAGACTTGCTAAAGAGAATGTTTTTATAATTCATAGCAATTCTAGAGTCCTGACACCTTATCATGGTTGGTTTTCTTATATATCCCCTATTCATTGTGAGAGTGTTATCTCTGACATAGTTTTAAATACAAAAGTGAGTTTCAAACAACGAAGTTTGGAAAAGTTTGTGATAACTTTCAGGTAACTAGTATCCAGTGGCAGAATTAAGAATTGTCACTCTAAGCTAAAATGTTCAGAAACTCACCAAACATTTGTATTTATTGTCACTTTGGCAAATTTCATGACATGTTATATCTCATCACACAAACACTTAACATGGTTCAAAATATAAAAAGCCAAACACATTCTAATCAGATACCAAGAGAAGTTAGTAAATCCTCATCCCTGAAGAGCTTTAAGAACAAGAATGCAAAGAATGGAATGAAAATTTAAGTATAATTCTGAAAGGCAAGGACACAAAAATATTTACTTTGGGTTTCTTTTGGCCATAGAATAACAATGAAATTAGACTAAATGAATTTCATTATAATTTTGATACCTTCCAATGTGGCTCAATATTTATTTGTAACTTTTTGTTTGGTTAAGTAATATAAATGATTTTCATTTATAATTTTTAGAAAACACCCAAAATATTAAGAATCTAAACTTATTAGTTCAAGTAGATCAATGCTGGAATCCTACAATTATGTCTGAAAGAGCTCAGCCTGTATAGTTAAAACCATATTATTTTAAACTATGCAAAAACACTCTGGTCTGTTAAACCAGGTTAGATCAAGCTCTCATGTTGCTTCCTCTACCTTGAATTTCCTTTCTGCTCACCTCTGTCAAAATCTTAGCCCTTTTTTCAGGCACCAGCTCAAATGATGGCTCTAGCACCTCTCTCTAAACATGCCAAACCTATTTCATCAGCATCTGCATAAGTAAATTGATGGCTTAGTAAATGTTCAAAAGATCTTAGTGATAACTGATTCATTAGTCTAAGTTACATGTATTTAACTTAAAAATCATTCCCACAAAAAGTTCAAAATCTAGTATAATTTTTCATACTTGCTACAATAAATGAATCTTTAAGCCCACAAAGACAACAAAGCTAAATCAAAGATTTCAAACCTTGAGAATAAATTACTAATCTGGGACAGATCCCAACCTAAATGACTGGTCACATAAATAACAAGAGTATCATTTTCTAGTTACTTACTTGTCTTCCACTGCAGTGGCTCCAATTAAATTCATGTTTGTCTCAATATCATCAAAAATCTTTTCCATTTTTTCTTCTCTGTCTTGTAAGGACATTTTTGCCTCTATAAGCTGCCTGTTAATTATTTCATAATCATCCAGAGCGATTTCTTTAAAGGCTACACAAAGTGTCCGGTACCCATCCTAGAAGTAAAGGAGGAAATCTGTAGTTACCCTCATAATAATGGGGAAAAAAAACCCCACACTCTTTTTAAATATTCTTGCTTTACCCATATATATAAAATAGAAATTCTGACATGCTTTTAGTTTAAAAATTGAACAGATTCCAACTAAAAAGGTAACATTCAATTAGGTTCAGAATAACAAAATAATTAATAGCTCTTTTAACAAAGATTCTTGAAAAGTCTTCAAGGGTATATATTCTGACCAGACACCTGCTCCAGCATAACGTTTTATATTAAAATAAGAAAAGTAATATTATTAAACCCCCAAACACAAAAAATAGACCACAAAAATAAATTTAAATTCATTTAAACATTCAATTAAATAGCAATTCCTATAAACATGGCATCTCTATTTCTCTGTATACTTATTGGTAGGAGAAGGGGTGTAGGCTCACCATTGCATTACGTTCCACATGGACTTTAGTTAACTCAATTTCATGATTTTGCACCCTGGGGAAAACTGAGGAGTCTGCTCCTTTACAAAAGAGAAGTATGTCTCCTAAAATAAAGAACCAAAGTACTTGACTTAGAATTTTAAGACTGGCATTGGGAACTATTAAGGTAGTCTGTCTCTCCCACCCAGGTGATGTATATTCTGAGCCTGCCTTGCAAAGCTCATCTAAATGGAATGAGACATCTTGATCTTTAGTCTGTCAAGAGAACATTCACCACCTCTTCAGGCTATTATGGACACAACAACTAAGCCAGAGTTTATAACATGCATCTCTGTTAAAATGTAAGTCCACCCAGCAAACCATGAAGAACTGGGCTTTTGTCAAGGAGCTGCAACTGAATTCTTTTTGAAAATGTAGTCAGCCATGGCCTAGGGTGCCATGAATATGGCATCTGCAGATGTCAATAACCAAACTCAAGCTCAAATAAACTGATGTCATTTTGAATAAACCCTACAAATTAACTTCTAAAATGCTGGCTTAATGGTTTTCACTGGAAGTTTGAGAATAACTTTGCAGAATTATGGTACAATTGCAGCTTTAGATCATGCACCCAGGGAATATTCATATTTGAGCACTAAGACATACACTTTATCCTTATAAGGGAAACAGCTGAGTTCAACAAATTAAAAAATGTAGCTCTGAGGTCAATGAACTTTGCAGACCACTTCCCCAGACATTTCGCCATTTGTACAACATATATATGTATATATACATATGAGAACAGCAAGTATTAAAAATGTTAAGTATTTTTTTTTTCCATTTCCTCTTAAACATCTAAAGTGTGTTTAAAAGTTACAAAACAAATTCCATGGTCACATACTAAAATCAATTTCATGACTTTGCAGTCACACCACAAAGTATGAATACAGTAGATGTGCTCTCCCAAGAGTCTGTCTGCATCTCCCATTCTCACATTAAGGGATTCAGAACAGATTTAATGCTAAAAAGTAAATCACTGGGAAATAAATCAAGGATATTTTAAAAACAAACCACCTGGGCATGCCACACACATACACACAGAAACACATGCTGAAAGCCTGCAAATGAGGCAGGAGTGTCCCCCCCTGGGTGTTGCAGAATCTGAGCAGAAGGCAAACCACCATGGTGGCCTTTCAAAGACACTGGGGGTGCCTAGGACGATGGCACCAGTTGCCCTGCAAAGGGCAAGGTTTACTGTCAAAGAGCCCAAGCTTCAGTGTGAGACCACAATGCCCTTTCCCAGAAGCCTAGCCCTTAGTCATCTCTAACTCATCTGCAACCAGGGAGTGTGAAGCAGTAGGGGAATCAGAAAGGTCAGGGAGGGATAACCAGCAACTCTCTGCACTCAAGGCTTCTGCTGCTAGAAATCCCAAACTGCCAACTATAGTGAGTTGCTACATGGAAACATTACTGGTGACTAGTCAGTACCCTGAACCATACAAAAGTCACCCTTTCAGTTCCTGTTTGGACACCCAGGGCAGAGGAATAAAGTTCTGTTTCCAAGAAAGTGCATGTACTGTTGGATCAGGGGTTTTGTCACTGACAGTTTGGCAAACTAAACATATGTTAAATAAATACATGAAGGCACATACAAAAACCACTGCTTTGAATGACTTTAGCTAATCCAAAACCACTATATGAAATGTTTCTCTTTCCTGATACAGTTGATTAACATATATGCCTACAAGTAAAAAAGGGGGGAAAAAATCAAGTTTTAAGATATATACCTTCTTGAGTCTTCACAATTACACTCATACGTCGGCGGACAGAATCAAAGTTTAAGGTGTGAAGAAGTTCATACCTTTAAGAGAAGAGGAATGAGAAAAGTAAAATACATAGACCACACTGAGAAAAATAAAACACAATAGAAATCTTAAGATATTTTAACATCTTAGATGAACACATAGCTCTCTTCTTTGGATGAGGGCCACTGGTTGTGTGCACAACTGATACTTTCCCTTATCTTGAAATTTCTCTGCATGCTGAACATGCTGTCAGAGAACACCAGTGTTGGTTACAGGGTATTTATATCCTCTTGCTATATTACTTAAAACAGTAAGGTGAATGACTACGTAGGAATGGAAGACAAAAAGGTGTCCCACTAAGCTATATCTGGAGGAGTCTAGAAATAGTCCCACTCTGAATTATTTTACTAGCATCTATGGAGTGCCTACTATGTGCCAGGCACAGTGCTAGGTGCTGGGGAAACACAAATGAATCTGCTAAGGAGCTCACCATATAGCGGAGACAGAGGATAATAACTACTCTCCCAGTCTGTTGAATACAATAATAAAGCCACTCACAGAGGAGATGGGAGAGCACAGAAGGAAGCCATCTGAAGGCTGGCTTCCTGGAAGAGGCTGTGCCTGAGCTGGGTTCTGTAAGAGTAACATGATGAAGAAAGAGGACCATGGCATTCTGAGTAGAGGAAAGAGCATGTGCAAAGGCATAGCATCATGAGAGAAGATGACTGACAGGGGACTTTAAATTGTTCACCAATGCCCGAAAAACTCACTGATGAGAAAACAGCAGGAGATGAAGCAAGAAATGTAAGCAGAAGCAGGAAACTGAACTCTGTAGGCCATTTGGGATTTTCTCCTAAGAATAACAGAAAGCCAATGAAGGGTTTAAACTGTGGAATGACATGATGAGATTGATCAGATTTGCCTGTGGATGCCTGAACAATTAATCAAATGAAGGGATACAGAAGAGTTAAGAGTTAATTATTAAAGAGTGTAAAGGAATATTTTCTTTAAAATAAACAACTTTGATACATGTATTTAACATAAAAATATCTACTATATGGCTTGGTTTTGGTGGGAAGTAGGGGGTCATTGGTTTGGGGGGAGTGTGTTTATATATTTACTGCAGCATCTCCTTTGGTGTTGGCCAGATGAGGGCACTGTTGTGGAATGGTTAGAATCTGAACTCTGACAATGACCTTGGGTCCTTGGCAGTCAGAGAGGCCCTTCCGCTGGGCTTTTGAGCATCCTTCCCCAAGGGAGCACATTACCCAAAGCAACTCTACATGTATTACAGGTTTCTGAGGTAGGTCTCAGGAAGCTATAGGGGCCAGAATAGAAGTCAGGTAAAATAATTACATATCAAGTTTAGATGAAGAAATTTAATCACAGAGCCTAATTAAGCCAAAATAGCTTTGTTTGTTGGGGTCTTTGTGCCAAAAGAGGAAAGGTGGAAACACTGCTGCATCAGAGTACTAGCCCTGAGGTTCACACCTGAGCATCAAGAATAAGACAAAGCTTCTATACCACTCGGAGGACCTTCGGTAAAAAAGAGAAAAAAATATAAAAAAATAAAGACAAAGCTTCTGGTTCACACCAAAGCTGCCATTATGGGCTGGGCTTACAATCCCAGAGTGATTGCTAGGGTTCTGGACAGCAGAAGGTTTAATGTATGTTCACTGATTTTTCCTGGAGCATGTTAGAGACATGACATGGAATCTAAATTTCAGAAATAGTCCAGGCAGACTCTCTTTCCGGCTACTAGACCCATATGTGAACCAAACTGGAATTTCCACTGCCAACCACCGTTTCTGCCATTTTATGAAAAATGGCTTCTACTCCAAGTAAGTTTATATAAAACTCTGAACTGTTAGAGCAGAGTCCTATATTTATAGGGGCATCAATTTCCTTTGTAGCCCTGCCTGAATCCATTTAAAGTTGACTGTGGGGTTATAAAGTGACCGACAAACATCAAACACAGAGCTACTTACTCTTCTATTTCTTTTCTTTGGTTCTCTACTATCATATGTCCATTCCGATTTCCTAAAAATGTGAACCCGTACCTATCAAAAACAATAAAAAAGACCTTTGTGTACCTATATAGAATGATTAATTTTCCCTCACATTGGGCTACACATGCTTGTTTATTCTTTTCTTTGCTTTCATATAATCTCAACATAGAACTGCACTTCCCTTTCCTGGATGAACTGATAACACAAAGCAAGTCAATGCCAAACCACAAATTATTGTAACCATGGGAGAGGCAGTTTGTAGTTCCAATTCTGCAGCTAACACACTGGGTGATCTTTAAGCAACGTAATCATCCTGGGCCTCATGGGTAAAAAACTGGACTGTCAGTTATTAAATGACACCAAAATTGCTGGGAGCACTTCAGAAATAACATGTGCTATACAAAAAGTGGCCACTGTTGTATAATTTGCAAAATATAATATGAACATTCAGACTTCTGGCTGGCATGCATAAATAGTAAGGCAAATAATATCTATGTGTCACTATTTTCTTTTTGGTCTTAATTGGTTAGGTTTGGGAATTTTCCACAAACTTCTGGATAAAGCACTTTTTTATATTAAATAACAGGAGATGTACACAATAAGGTTATTGAAGCAAACAGGGAAAACCAAAATAACTTCTGTCCTCTTGTGATTTCACTTTCCTAGAAGTACCAAGTGCTTACTTTTTAGCTCCTTTCACCAAAGCTATTTCATCTGGTGAAGAGGAGATGTAGGTTAATTCAGCTGATTCTGTAGCTCCATCAACAGCATCATTAATTTTAATTTCCACAGTATGACATAAACACAAAGCACGCAGAAAGAGTTCTTCTCGATTCTGTGGAACAGCAACAGGAGAGTGGCTATTATTTTTCACTTTGATCACTCAGTAACTAGGCAGTGAACAGAAAAAAGATACTAATGTGAGAGAGTGTTATAATCTCAATAAAGCTGAGTAACATAGATCTATACATTCCTAATACTCAAAAATAAGGTATATATCATCCTCCTAGTACCCAACAGAGTTCCTGGTTCTCAGCTAGTGTACCCTAAAGGATATGTTAACTTATTAAGGTTATTATAGGTCCACCTATACAAAAGCAGTGACTTCTTCATGGTCTAAAAGAGTTCATTCAGTATTTAATTCATAATTCAGCAATAGCTCAGGTGTAGGGAGACTGTGATTCATTTAATGCCTAGATACTTCTGGGACTTTAATCATTTGAATAGATATCACTCTTGAAGGAGCTTATATTTGAAAGACAAAGCACAAAAAATTCTGATCACACTGACAGGCAAGCTTTCACCCAAATGTAATTTCCCACAATTCTCTCTACTTGTAAATTGTACTAGTTTACAAATTCCAGAGTTGTTAATAAAACAAGAAAGGTGAAGCCAAAAGAATAAACAAATGGCTATTCAAAAGTCTATGTTATATGCCTACTGGAAAATTCTTTCCACTATGCAGGGTTAACACATGCATACACAGATAGGTTTCTCAAATAAAATGGGAATGCAAAAAATTCTACCTTATCTGCTTTGTCAAAATACGTTAAAGGTCCATCAGTTTGAGATAATCCATCAACCTCCTGAGTTACACCTTTATATTTGTGCCCATCTATGCAACATTCAATGAATTCCATGCTGTTTTCAGTGAGTGTTCCAGTCTTATCTGTAAAAACATAATCCACCTAAAAACAAAAACACAAACATATACATTTGCAGTTTCTTCAGTCTGATTAATTTTTAATTCAATGTAAAGCAGGGCTATTCCATATCCATGGAAAATCATAGAAAATCGCCTTTTCTAAGACTTCTTGTCAAATCTCCAGATAATTACAGAGGCAATATTATCAAAGAGATGAGAAATAAATGAATATTTTTAAAGACACAAATAGTATCGTATGTCTAAGGGTAGACCTACTCAAATGTAGATTAATAGGAACAAAAAAATGCAACCACTCTATCAAATTAAGAACCCCTCAATTTAAGTTAACCTGTTTAAGATACAAAGAAGTTACATAAAAAAGGACAATTTTTCAAGTGGGAAATAAGAATATATTGACCATTTATTTCACACTCAGACATACACACACACACACACACAGATACACTTTATGAGCTGGTATGTACATTACCCATTAAAATATTTAATAGGAGCTTAAATTAACTTCAATGTAGCAATATAAAATAAAAACTAATGGATTTATTTTGCCCCTTGAAAAGTAAAATTTTCTATAAAAATACTGCATTAAAGTAGAATGCATTACATTATATAATGTACATAAGAACTACAAAATAGGCCGGGCGCTGTGGCTCACGCCTGTAATCCTAGCTCTTGGGAGGCCGAGGCGGGCGGATTGCTCAAGGTCAGGAGTTCAAAACCAGCCTGAGCAAGAGCGAGACCCCGTCTCTACTATAAATAGAAAGAAATTAATTGGCCAACTGATATATATATATAAAATTAGCTGGGCATGGTGGCGCATGCCTGTAGTCCCAGCTACCCGGGAGGCTGAGGCAGAAGGATCACTCAAGCCCAGGAGTTTGAGGTTGCTGTGAGCTAGGCTGACGCCACGGCACTCACTCTAGCCTGGGCAACAAAGCGAGACTCTGTCTCAAAAAAAAAACAAAAAAAAAACTACAAAATATAGACAGATGAAATAATAATGTTAACAGTTACCTAATTGGGAAATATAGTATGTCAATAGTGATCAAAACGTACCTGAAATTCTTTCAACATACTATGCATATTTTTAATATACCTCAAAGAAGTTTCCAAATTAAATAAAGAGTTCATAATCATGGGTTAAAGTATAAGACAAGGATATTTTCATAAATAATGGAGAAAATAAGCTATGAATCAATTTTCCATTAAAATAAACCATTTTGAGCATTTCTATTTTATCTCAGTTTTTTATCTCTTCTATTTATAACATCTGGATTTTGGAAACCCACAATTTTATCCTCCTTTTTGGCAATTTATGCTTAAATAGTTAAAATTATGGGCTGACAGGAACAAGCATAAGTACAAGATTAAGGTTTTTATTATGTAAGGGAGAAAGAGATGAACTGCTACAGTAGTTGCTTTCTAATTATTTTTCAAAGCTTTTCATGGTACCAGCACTGGCACAAATATAGCATTCCAATCTTCCCTTTTCTTCCTGTTAAGCTAGCCAAGTTTGAATTCTCTCTTTAAATTAATCCAAATGGTATTATTCATGTATCATTTAGATTTTTCCAGTTAAAATGAAATTCTTTGTTTTTTTTTTTTTTTCTGATCAAAATTGTTAACTTTCATTTTCCCCTGAAGTCTGTTCTGGGTTGTTTCACCTCCTGCCCTTGGATGAGCATTAACCCTTTGAGAATCTCTTTTATTAGTGTGAAAGGTAGAAGCTTTAAAATATAAAGTACAATTTATTTGCCTATACATACTAGTTTGGGCAGTATGGATCTGTATACGTCGAATCTCACAGGTTTAGGCCAACAAATTATACGAAAATGCAGCAATTATTAAACTGTAGCATGCATCAAAAGCATTTGGAGGGCTTGTTAAAACTCAGATCTCTGGGCTTTACCTCCAGAGTTTCTGATTCAGTAGGTCTGAGATGGGGCCAGACCTACTGAAATTTGCATCTCTAAGTTCCCAGGTGATGTTGATGCTGCTGGTCTCAGTATTATACTTACAGAACCACTGTCCTAATATATGCCATATACTCAGAAAGAGGGGAAGTTGGGATCAGCTGTGATTCATATTAAAAAGTATTCTCAAGGCCGGGCACGGTGGCTCACGCCTGTAATCCTAGCACTCTGGGAGGCCGAGGCGGGCGGATTGCTCGAGGTCAGAAGTTCAAAACCAGCCTGAGCAAGACCCCGTCTCTACCAAAATATAGAAAGAAATTAATTGACCAACTAAAAATATATATACAAAAAAAATTAGCCGGGCATGGTGGCGCATGCCTGTAGTCCCCAGCTACTAGGGAGGCTGAGGCAGTAGGATCGCTGAGCCCAGGAGATTGAGGTTGCTGTGAGCCAGGCTGACGCCACGGCACTCACTCTAGCCTGGGCAACAAAGTGAGACTCTGTCTCAAAAAAAAAAAAAAAAAAGTATTCTCATATTTAAAGGACAGTGAGGGATAAAGAGAAAGGCTGCTGTTTGACTCTATCAAAGCAACCTCTTCCTCTTTTGCCTTGTTGAAAAGCCTCCTCTATATCAGCAAGGTCAAATTCATAATTTTATGGATGGAAAACCTAAATTGAATATGATATTGTAAAATATATATTTGATCTTCTTGCCTGTTTCCTGACATAAACCTCCTAAAATTACCCTTGGAATCTCCAGAGTGGTAAGAGTGTCTTTAGTATGCTAAAATGGCTGGTGGCTGGGGGCCCCTATGTAACTTCAGGATGGGGGCTAATCTTAGAAAGACCAAGGCATGATTAGAGGATTGGGACTTTCAGCCCCACCCCTGACCTGGGGTGGGAGAGGGAAGAGGGACTAAAGGTTAAGCTGATAACCAATGGCCAATGATGTAATCAATCGTGCCTATGTAGCAGAGCTTCCATAAAACAGGTTCAAAGAACTTCCAGATAGGTGAACATGTGGAGGTTCCTGATGGGTGGCAAGCCTCGAGGGGGCATGGAAACTCTGTGCCTCTTCTTATATAACTCATCCCATATGCATGTCTTCCATCTGGCTATTCATATATATCCTTTGTCATATCGTTTTATAATAAACCAAGAAACATTAGTGTTTCCCTGAGTTATGTGAGCTGCTCTAGCAAGTTGGTCAAATGAGTGGGACGAGGGTTGTAGGAACTCCGACTTATAACTGGTCAGGCAGAAGCAGAGGATATGACCTGTGTTTGCAATTGGCATCAGCAGTGGGGAGCAGTCTTGTGGGACTGAGCACTCAACCTGTGGAATCTAACACTAGCTCCAGGTAGGTAGTGTCAAAATTGAATTGAATTAGAGGACACCCAACTGGTTTCCACTGGAGAACTGACTGCTTGGTGTGTAGGAAAAAAATCTCACATATCTTATGTCAGAAGTGTTATGTTGAGTGGCTGTGTGAGAATAGTGAAGGAAAGAGGAAAATAACACTTTTTTTCTATTTCTTAGTGAGGTAGCTTCTATAGGGTACAAAGAGCTCTGAACTATATGTTGAACATATGAAATCATCTATATTGTAGGTCAAACATTTTCATATGGTTCAACCTAATGGAATAATTGGACTCCATCTTGGCTCTACCACTTACTAGTTTTGTGACCTTGGGAAAATCTCTTCATCTCTCTGAACTTTAAATATTAACCTTAAATAATAATACCTGCTGCGTAAGACTTAATCTTTAGATTAAAAAACAAAGCTCAATAATAAATATGTTCTGTAAACCATAAGGTGCTTTATTGTTGATTGTCACTGCTGTTGACTTAACCAAAACCACACAGTACTAGACTCTTTCCATTGTCCCATATTCTCTAATTTTTCTGATTGATTATGATCATATCACTATAGTTAGGTCTGATGTGTGTGTTTCCCCAAATATACGGTAAACAATTTGAGAGTTTCTTGTTCACTTTACAATAGTAACCTTGGTACCCAGAACACATCCCAGGTATACAGAAGCAGCTGAACAAACAGTCATTGGAATTATTAGAATTAGAGTATATACTTAGACTATAATGTTACACCCTTAGGCATAGCTGCAGGACTGGGAGGGCACATGAAGAAGGCTAGCCCTACAATTTTCTCAAGATGAATTAAAACCATTTGGTTGTCTAAATGATTGATGTTTAATTATAAAAGACCCCATTATTTTCCAACTAAGTTGAGCAGTCTACTTCCTTTTGTTTTTCACATCAAACACCATACCAAACGTATCTTTGTTTTTTTAAATACCAGTGTGGGTCACTTTAAGGAGGTTAAACAAATGCTAGCAATAGTATTGATGCAAATTAATTGACATTGCCTTTAGTAACATTAAAAGCCCCAGGGATCTTAAATTACGACTCATCAAAGAGGAAACTTCTTACACTTAATTTTGTGTGTACAGGTCCACGGAATGCTAAATGGCCCAATAAACTATTTCAAGACTTCTTTGCATTTTTATTCAGGTAGATTTTCTATACATGCAAGCTGATAATGATGGCAAATAGTTTATACACTATTAATTGAAGTGGTGGTCTGGCTATTAACTTACTGATTTGACTAAATGACATTCACATCCAGAAATGCAAGGTTAGGTGGAGGAAGGGAGTGATGGCTAAAAGGAAAACTGTAGCTCCTTTTCACTAATCTAATTTACCAGATCATTACCCAAAGCGCTACTTTACTTTCTGCAATGTTAATACAGTCTGATAAGAAGGTAATATGGAATCTGCTGAGGTAGAGATCTGAAAGAAAGAGATAAGAGTTTCATCAAGTGACCTGGCCTGGGAATCCTATCTGTTTCTGGTGAGCATTAAGTATTGTATTTGAAAGCGTGGCTATTCTATTTGCAGTATATAGCTGTGGCTAGTCCCAGGCTAGCCATGCTCATCCTTGTGTAGCTTAAATCACAGAACCAGGCACTGAATCTAGAACAGGCAGATTTATTCAGCATCCAGAGTGAACCACTAAAATAGCTGTCAAGGAAAGGCTCACCAGAGTTGGCTTATATACTCAAAATATTTTTAATGCAAAAGAAAACCTGCAAAATTGCGGCTTTTATTGGAACTAGAGTAGTTCTACATAGAAAGCTCTGTCCTTAGAATGAACACTTCTCATTTAAAAAGGCAAAGATCAGTTGTGGCAGCTCACATTACCAACAAAAGAATCATCTGGGAACAATATCCAAGGGAAAGGCCATTCATCCATTAATTTTTTTATCCTATTCTTGTTGCCTCAAGACTCCATGGCCTGAGATACTGGTGTCCTGAAGTAAGTTCTAAACAAAATGATATCTGGAGAATCTTTAGTTTTTCAACTGAAGTTGTTAAGAGGGTACTTTGGTTTAGGCTAGGGCTAGGGAACCTGTGGTCTTCTGATTTCAAGATAGTCCTTTTTTAAGCACCAAAGGAGGCAAGAAAAGTGTCATCTTTCCCTGCTGTACCCCTTTTAATAAAAGAATTTGTTCTGTAAAATTTGGATTCAATCAAAAGGCCACAGTTAAGGACCTGGAAGGCCACATGTACCTTTAGGCAAAGGCTGTGTCAAGAGCAGAAATACAGTGGAGGCAGTGGGAAGGCTACACCTAGAAGAGAGTGTTTTGACATATAGATGCAAATAAGCCCCGTTTAAAACAAGTGTGAGGCCCTGTTCCAGCCACACAGTTCCATTAACTGAATTTGCATCTCCCTATCATAGAAATGACATTTTCACAGTCTTGACATTCAAAATATCATGAGAATCAAATGCAAACCAAAAAATTCTCTCAACTTGTGAAGATCATTACATGACACACAGTAAATTCAAACAAAGGGAAAAACTTTCCCAATACTAATAAGAAAAACACCTAAGAAGTCATCACTTGAAGAATTATAGCTGGACTGCATTGCATTGGGAAATAAATACACCAGGGTTAGAAATGAGGTCACAGTCGGGGTTACACTAGTATACGAAGCAAAAAGCATTTTGAGGAGTACATGCCCTCACATTTTCCCTTCATTTAAATTCTTGTACTGTAATAAACAACTCTGCTAGCTAGGTTTATATAGTATTTGATCAGAATGTACCAAGAAAAAGTCAATAGGAAAACTCTGGTCAATGTTGTTTAAGAAACAAAATACAATTATAAAATATCTATATTTACTACCCTGTATCCACAAATGGTTATAGATGGTGATGAAGACTACATATTTCCTATTTCAAAGCATTAATTCATAATATAACAACATCACCCAGTGAGCTTTAAAGAGAATTTTAGTAACATCCAAATTTAATACACAAATTGCATCCTTCTCAAAAATGCAGTCAAAAAACCTGATGCTATAGCTATGAAAACACTGCTTAGCTTCATTACCTGCCTGCATAAAAGAATTTTCTTTGAATCACATTTCCAAATGTAATGCACATACATTGGTAATCCAGAATACAAAAAAATACATTTTCACGGCCGGGCGCAGTGACTCACACCTGTAATCCTAGCACTCTGGGAGGCTGAGGTGGGCGGATTGCTCGAGGTGAGGTGTTCGAAACCAGCCTGAGCAAGAGCAAGACCCCATCTCTACTATAAAAGAATAGAAAAAAATTAATTGGCCAACTAATATATATATAGAAAAAATTAGCCAGGTATGGTGGCGCATGCCTGTAGTCCCAGCTACTCGGGAGGCAGCAGGATTGCTTGAGCCCAGGAGTTTGAGGTTGCTGTGAGCTAGGCTGACGCCACAGCACTCACTCTAGCCTGGGCAACAAAGCAAGACTCTGTCTCAAAAAAAAAAAAATACATTTTCATGATATTGATTTATTATAAGTGAAAATATGTTCTAACCTGACCAAGTTCTTCATTAAGATCTGACGTGTTCACCAGGGCTCCTTCATTAATTTCTTCATCATAAAAGTCCTTATCCCATGAGATGAAGAAGGAGCCCAAGAATTTCTGCATTTCTACTGTGACGTACATGGAGACAGGAATGATAAAGTTGAATAGAACCATAAATGATAGGAAGTCGGTGAACATTTTCAAAACCTAAAATAAAAGAGAGAGTTAATGCTAATTAGAGGAACCATTCTATCAGATGAGTATAATAGAAACAGTTAACTTTGCATCTTTTTATTTCAATGCTAAAAGCACTGCTCTTGCTATAAATAAGGAACTTCCCAATGACGCTATATCATTGTAGTCAAAATTATCACAGTATGTGAGAACATTTAAGAACACCCTCAATTTTATCATTATTCTTCAGCATACATATCTTCTGTCAACACTTTTTTCACTTCTGTAAGTTCTTTGTTCCCTCTACCCCTAGATATGAATGTGAGATCAAAGTTTATATGTAGGCATTCATTATGCTCATATTATAACATCTCACAAGATCATATTAAAATGCCAGAGCTTCTTGCCAAATTGCTTCAAACTCTTAAAAAGCTAAAATCAAGCACGGATGCCCAAAATAAAAGAAAAAAAAAAACTAAAACTTCTTACATATTTAATAGGTTAGAGCCACCATATAATTAAGAGAACGCCCAGAAGCTAACAAAAAGTGTCATTTCTCTGAGCAATTTCAATAAAGGGTGGCCTTGATTGCAAAGTTCTAGAGTTAGAATTTTCAGCAGAAGACACATTACCTTCAAAGTCTCCCGCTCTTTCTGAGTCTTTTGGTTATACCAAGGTTCATCATTATGTGGAGTACTTTGCCAAACGTACTTTAGAGTAGTGCATACTGCAGCTTTGGTCAGTAAGATAAATAAATACACAATCAGGAAGGCATTAATAGATCTGAAAAATAAGACAGTATGGATTTTAAAACCACCTAATTACTTAAGACATCAGCCAGATATGAATTAAACTATTCAGTTGTCTAAAGTTTCTCCTGTGTATGATGTGTAACCACAGCACAAGCCTTTATTACATATGAACCTCAGTTTTCACAGCTGCAGCATCACTCTCAAGTGGCAAAATGGAAACACTAGTCGTGAACTGTTTATTCATCACCCCATGTACAATGGCTGACTAACTTAACACCCCTTTAGTAAGGTTCCTATAAAGTGACCACACACACACACACACACACACACACACACACACACACACCATACTCAATCTTATAGAAGGAGTAGCCTGTCTCCACTTCCCTGAATTCTAAATGTTTGGGGTAGAGGGCACAGTAGCAATTCGAAATCCAAGCTCAGTGTAGATTCTTTCAATTCAGAAGTGGAGCTAGGGAGAGGGTGGCAGTGATATACTGGTTATCCATGCAGGTGACAGGGAGAGGGCCATATCAGTGGCACCTAGCTTAAGGATCTACCAGGTATCACTTCAGCATTTTCCAGGAGACTATTATCTATGTTATAGAACCAACTTGCATATAGTAACTAGAGGACCCCAAACCATTAATTCCAGTAACAAAAAGGAATAAATTTATAGTTCAAATAAACTCTGTCCTTTAATAGTTATGTGAGCTTAGGTAAGTCATATACCATCTCTGAGATCATTTCCTCATCTCTAAGGTAGAGAAGCTAATACAAATTACTTCACAGAGTTGTTCAGAATACTAAACCAAATCAGACATACAAGTAATTGAGCATAGTTTCTGGAACATAAACAAGTGTTTAAAATGGTAGTTGCTATTATAGTTGTTTCTTATTATGGTTGTTATTTGGAATTACTGAAGCAGTAACTATTTCAATCAATAACAACTAGGGAAATTGTGGTGCACACTAACTTTTCAACAGCAGAACGTTTCTGAGATTTCCCTTGGTAGTTTAAAGCCATTTTGGTTTCCATTCCAGTGTAAACAGCAACTCCTAAGGAATAACAGAATATAATGAAACCTGGACTGCAAATGAACTTGTCAACCAACTCCCCACCCAGTTAGATCCATAAATTTCTAAATATATAAAAGTGGGAATTCTAAGTCCCCTTCCAACTCACCAGTTGATATACCATTAATAGCATAATTTTTAATTCTATATAAAATTTGTCATATTCCATCTTAGTTTACCATCTTATAAATTCCCAACATCTAAACAGAGGTTTAAATTAAATGGCAATATCTGCCATGTTCACTTTTTAACATGCACTATTTATTCACAGGCTTTACAAAGCATATTTCTGACACATATATCTTAAAAATTGTTTACCATATATCTTCTTAGTATTTTTTAGTGTAGCTCCTTTCAGCAAGAGATTTTCAGGTCCCAAAGACCTAAACAAAAAGCAACCACAATGTATCCAAACAACACAACTGCATCATCAACTGTGGGGATAGATTTTGCTCTGAAACACATCTATCTCCAAGAGGTTCAGAATGTATCTGTCTACTTATACCAGCTGCTTACTCCCAAGGACAAGCTGAAAGATCCCTCTCTCTGAAGTTACTTGAGAGTATAGCACAGATAGAAGCACAATAAAGAAGTAGCCAGCAACACACAGTGGTAAAGAAATGGATAAGGGGAATAAAAGAATTATTGAATCATAGACAAGGACAGGACAAAGCAGCAGATATAGAGAAACAAACAGAGGGTCACAGATAAAAAGACTGAGAAGGCAAACACCAAGGTGGGGAAAAACACACTGACATATTTATAGAGAGTAAACCCTCCTTTAGGGGATCACTGGGAACTCTGTGTTTAACTTTTTTCTGAGAACTTCTTTCTGAGTATGGATACTGTACTGAGTGTGGCTTTAAAGGGCAAGTGGAAAAATTAAGGTTAGAAAGAGGAAAGAAAGCATTCTTTTTTGTATGAATTGCCTCATTATAAATGATCAGCCTATCATTTAACTTAAGTCCAAGGAATTCTTCCAGCATTTTATCCACTGCCTAGTCCCTCAATTACTCTCCCTTAAACTACTGTTCTCCAAGTATATTTCCAATGTTGCCAGCCACTGTACAACCAAGGACAATAAATACAGTGCCTAGAGCATGTTTGGGAACATCAGTCAAAGCGTTGGAAGCACTGCTATTTTGGAAACCCTAAACATTAATTCCAACATCCCCCTACCCCCCAATACACAGAGATCCTACCACCACTATCCTACCAATTACAAGGTTACTTATTCACCTTTATATCCTTTTATATAAAGAAAGGTATTTGGATGTTTTAGTGGATTTAAAAGAAAAATATACCCCCAGCCAAAGGCCAGATTAAAGAAATAACAAACTAACCTGGCAACAGCTTCAAGACTATTACTATAGATATTGATTCGCCCAACAAACCTGTAAAAAGAACATAATTGCAAATGTGTTTTCTATATCCAGGTGAAATCCATGTACCACAAATATGAGAAGAAAGCAAAATACAAATAATACAGAGAAGATTAGACTCTGAACTACAAAAGCCTATTATATTTCTGGAAAAAGAAGTTATATTAAATTGATAAGGTATATAACATTTCTGTCTAATTTTTTAAATAATATTATGAATTATCAGAATGTAAACAAAGATTCTAAATTGATTTTCAAGTTCTATCTGGCATTATGGATGCATACAACACTTCTCGCCTTTATACCTTTACATAAATAACGTGACTTCTATTTTAGATTCACACGAAGAAAGGTTTCTGGTGCTAACACACACTTTAAAAACCATTAGTTCAGTAGTTCTAACACTTGAGCATGCATAAGAATCTCTGGAGGCCTTATTAAATCACAGATTTCTGAGCCCCATCTCTGAGCTTCTGATTTCAGTTTCCAGGTGATACTAATGCTGCTGGTCTAGGGACCACCCTTTTGACCATAACATTGATCTGGGACAGTGAACACTTGATTACTATCTTGGAAATGTCCAGCGTGTGTCTTGCAACTGATCTCAATGCTGAGCTTGATCCAATCACTTAATATGACTAAGCGCATGATAACCTGTATTTCTGCAAAATGGGGTAAAAAGGCCAACCCCTCCTTAGCAAAAATATTATGAGTGTTTTCTAATTTGCATTGTAAACACCATTTTTTTCCAGAAAAAATAGTAATATTTTATATTACTATGTACACAAAATATGAAGGGTCTGTTCATTCATTCATCATACATTAATTGTGCCAGTACTGTACTAAGGTGCTGAAGATACACTAATAAGCAAAGAAAAAAAAGTGTTCCTTGTCCCAAGAAATACAAGTAAACAGGCAATGATAACGCAAGTGATCACCACTAGGGGTGGTGGAAGTACCAGGTATTTTGAAGTCACATAGCAAGGGATTTGATCTAGTCTAAGAGAATTAGGAATAGCCTTCCCTGTCATAACATTCCCCTTCATATTTAAGGCAACTGAAAAATATGAGTGTTTCCTTATAAATATGTAAGGGTATAGATACGGTTCTTTAACTCAGGCAGAATAACTCACTCCCTTTTCTGTGATCCCACGGCCCTTGTACTCACCTCTATTATCACACTGTAGTGTAAGCTTAGCTTTACTGTTTTATCTCCTTTGCTCACTATGAGCCCCCCTTGAAGGCAGAGAAAAGCTGGTATACTTTGTGGCCCTAGTTCCTAGTATCAATGTGGATACAGAAGAGGAAAGGGAAGAGGAAAAAACTGATGGGAAGGAGAGAGGGTATTATTTTTGAGGCAGGATGAATACTTTGTTTTTCTACTACTAGGTCTTAGTATAGATCACATCTAACCACTTGGACTATTCAACCACTTATGACTAAGACTGTTCATTAACAAGATGGCTAGGATGGGTAATGGATGCCATCTGTAATGGTGGAATAGAATGAAATCAGTCCATATGGAGATAAAACCTGTTTTACCTCCGGTTACTCTACCCTCCTTAGCACCATGCTCTAATCAACCAAACTAACCAGTCCGAAATCAAACACCAAATTTTTGACAATCCACAATGACGGTTAATCAGCAAATCTTCTACAGAGAACCTAAGTATAGCAAAATAGAGGAAATTACACCATTTTACTGCTCCCTTAACTGTTTACTGTGGACAAGAAACTGCCTATTAGTGCATCACAATCATTGTAAGAAAGCTTAGAGTGCCTACTAATTGCATTAAGAGGATATCCCTTCTCCCTTTAATGTTAGATGTCATGTAAAAGGGGTTTATTGTTGTTTTAATTAACTCTGGTTACTGTATCAACCTGATGGACCAGACAGTCTTACGGAATAACTTAATTTTAAAATATGATAGATGGCCAAGTTTATAAGTAACAAAAGTAAAAGAAAAATCATAGGATGTCTGGGCCTACAATGATTTATCTTTGGCTGATAGTGAACAAGGCTAATTTGATTCATTTCCCTGCCAGAAGGAAGGAACAGCTCATAAAAACATAAATGAGAGTAGGCTGACAAGTGGTGGGTGTTTCTTTGCAATACTGTTGGTGAAGAGAAGCAGAGCCAACAGATAGCAGTAAATGAAACCAGGTGATTCTTACTTGTAGAGGTCAGGTTGAGGCTGTTCACATTCAATTGTTGCTCGAAGGGTATCAATGGATTCAGCTGTACACAGTGCAATGGTGTCACGTACTGCATAATGTGTCTAGACACAAGCAGAAGAAAAAGCAGAAGCAACAACAAAAAGTTTCTTTTCATAATTGTACACCCAACTAATTCCAGGAATATAGTTTGTTTTAATAAGAGGCTTTCGCAAAATAAACAAATATTGATGCATGTTTCCCACCTAATAGGTTTTATGGTATTATTCTTAAAATATATTACAGGTAATTAGAAAGATAATCCTGCTGCAAGGGGATTTCAAAGATAATGAAAAAACTAAAAGCTCTTCTTGATAAAGACAACTGAAAGGATTCCAATTGCAGCATACATCTAATTAACCAAGACCCCATGAAAATTTTAATACATTTTTATCTCTTATTTATAGAACTGATGCTTATTATTTTTCTCACTATAGTGTATGGCAATATAGACATACACATATGAATTGAACAGAACCTTTTTGGTCATAAGAATGCTAAAATTTTGCCAACATCAAGAAAAAAAAAAAACATGAATAGTTCCATTAACAAATAGCTTAATTAATGATCTTGAAAATGTTCACAGTGGCTACATTTTGTGGGAAGGGGAAGGAGATGATGTGTCTTGCATTAGTCAGACAGTTAGAATATTCTACTAATGTACATTATGCACTTGATTCATCCAGAAGTCAAGGCAGGCTCCAATGAACCAATTTATATATCATCAAACAAGCAGTAACACAGACTCAAAAAATGCACCGCTTACGTAGAAGGGATAGCTGTTGTCATGGTCTTCAGGGAATATTACGGAACTACCTGAGTTATATTTAAAACTGCCTCCTATTACAGTCTTAAATGGTCTTAAAAAAATAAATAAATAAAAAAAATTTAAAAAAAACTGCCTCCTGCTTTTGAAAACCTCTGTACTTTTAGCTGATTTGAGCAGATCAACTTAAATGAAAAAAGAAACTCCCTGAAAGTTTTCTTTCTCTAAACAACATTTTTGCTATTAGGAAATCTATAGGTAGATCTCTTGATTTTTATCTTGACATTTTCTAAAATATAACTTTGTTGTGGAATAGTTTAAATGCTTCTTGCTCATTACCATGCTTTTGAAATATAGAATTAGTCATCCAAGAGATAAAGTTCTTCTTTCACACACTGAGTCCTAGCCCCCAACTCTAGATGGAATGAACAAGGAGAGGAACTCTGCAAGTATATTCCCAGAGGTGAGCCATATCAGTATCCCCCCTTAAAGTCAAAATAGAGAGGATACATATTCATGCCCTGTGGAGTTCTGGACGATGGCAAAGAACTGGCTGTCCCAGAAAGTATAAGAGAAGTAAGTTGTCTCCCAGTTTCACCAAATTTACTTTAACTCACTTATAATTCTTCCTAGCTGTAATAAAGTATACATTTGCCAAACTACACACTAAGGTATTTAAAAAGCAATCAAATTACTCCAGGACAGATTTCTTATATCCCAAGTGTAAACAATCTTTAAAGAAAACACACATCACTTCCAGAATAAAAACTGATCAAACTGTAAGGTTAGAGTACATGAAGTTATTTTTATACTTATATAGTTTCAGCCTATGATTACTCCTATTTTTAAAAGCCTAAATAAAGTATAATGAGTTGTGTCAATAGTAAATTCACATAGTGCTATAAAAATTGTGGTGGCTTCTATTTGGGGCATGGTTTTTCCCCACTCAACACCGCCCTTTTCCTCTAAGATAAGTATTGCTTAGACGTTAAAAGTCAGTTATAGGCCGGGCGTGGTGGCTCACGCCTGTAATCCTAGCTCTCTGGGAGGCCGAGGCGGGTGGATTGCTCGAGGTCGGGAGTTCGAAACCAGCCTGAGCAAGAGCGAGACCCCGTCTCTACTATAAATAGAAAGAAACTAATTGGCCAACTAATATATATAGAAAAAATTAGCCGGGCATGGTGGCTCATGCCTGTAGTCCCAGCTACTCGGGAGGCTGAGGCAGCAGGATTGCTTGAGCCCAGGAGTTTGAGGTTGCTGTGAGCTAGGCTGATGCCACGGCACTCACTCTAGCCTGGGCAACAAAGTGAGACTCTGTCTCAAAAAAAGAAAAAAAAAAAAAAAAAAGAAAGGCATTGGTCTTTCCCATAATATTTGAAAAAATATTCTTTTCTATAAGTCACTTTCTAAGAATTCATCTGTTATCAGAAGAATTAATTAATATAGCAATGACAAACAATTTCCTATGAGCAAGTACCCAAAGTACAAGTAGAGAAATAAAACATGAGAGAAGAAATTATGAACAATTTAATAAGGTAGGAAATAAATCATAATAGTTAAAAGCTTAGGCTTTTTAAAATGAGTCCACATCCCAGCTCTGCCACTTAACTATATGACTTTCAGTAAGTGTCTTAGATGATTGCAAGTACCTCAGAGGACTGATGTGAGCATGAAATGATGATACCAGTAAAGCATTAAGCAAAGTGCCTAGTACATATTAACCATTTGTTAAGAATTAATTATAATTATTACTAATACCCTGTAACTACTTTACTCTCAATCTATGAATACTCTTAACACTTTTTTGGAAGGATGTAAGGAATCCTCTAGTCTGGTGCTTACCAATATTTTTCATACCATGGTACATAGAGAAAATGACAATTAATACTTTTATACAGCACCCTTAGGTAAAGAGAAGAGGCTTCTGGATGCAGAAGAGGGAGTCAATACTTGACACACTGACCTGGATACACTAGCTCTGCCTGTCTTCTATTTGCAATATGATTCGGCAGATAAAGATGAGGATTTCAATAGTTATTCAGGAATAATTTTATTTTCTTTGCCAATCTTAATCAGTAGTCAAGAGCAACAGCATCAATAATTTAACTAATTTGTGAATAATATTTCATTTTGTTGGATTTTCCTTCCTCACTTCCATAAACACTTATATTGCTTACATCAAACCACAATCCCTGCTTAAATATGCAGAAGAAAGATAACAAGCAAAATCCTAACACATCTTCGAAGAAGCAAATACTCATTAGAGGTTGGAAGATTACCCTCAGGCACTGGGAAATAAAACACACAAAAGGACCACTTTTTTCAACACTTATGATTCACTCTGATAAGAAACATAAAGGTCCCTGTGTCTGCAGTGCAAGTTGAGACTGCTGAGATGGACAGGAGCCAGATCACAAAGGGCTTGGCAGGCCAAGCCACAGGATTCAGGCCTCACCCTGAAGGCAAAGGTACAGGACTTTTAAAGAAAGGGGATAACATGATCTAGCTAGGCAATCAACTCTAGAGTTCTGTTTCTGTAATACTTATCATTTTAAAAGCCACAAGAAAACATTACCACTACCTATTATAAATATTAGAACAAAATAGATAATCTAAAAAATAAAATGTTTAGTCCATCAGAGAGGTGAGGTTGCCAAGGCAACCATGTAAACTGAATTTCAAAGAGTAATGTGAGGAGAGATAAGACAGTTGAACTGTTTCACAACTCACAGCATAGGAGTAAGAGATGGTTACCATAAAAGTGGGTAAGAAAAAAACCACTAGATTTTTAACCAATTCTTAAAGGCTGGGTGTGAGCTAATATGAGGTTTAGAATCTCTACAAGCCTGAGAGACAAGAGGATAACCACTCACCAGCTCTTCTTCACAGGCTTCCACTGGATACTCATGAGGAAGCATGAGGGCAGAAGACCAAAAAGTACCCTCCTCATTGGTATAGTCATACAGGTAGTGACTGACTACTGTGGACAGACAGGCAAAAAACATGCCAGAATTATGGACCCCTCTCTCATATGAAGCAAAAGCCACCTGCATCTAGGAGAAAGATAGGAAACCTTCCCTGGCATAGTCTCAGGGAAACATCACTACTGCTAGAGAGGAAGAAACAAAAGCAACCTGATGTAGAGGATGGGACAGGAAACCCACTTGTACCAAGGACCTGGCACTGAGATAAGGCAAAAGTTTAGCTACTGTGTGAGGTGGGGTGGAAATATTGAGAAAGTCTCTCACCCTGAGGCTCAGGTGTATAAGGCCTGCCTAATATTGAGACAGGAACAAGAGAACCAAGAAACCAATCTGTTCCCACCAGGAACTTTACACTGAATAACAAATAGCAGTCTACAATTGGAAGACAAGCAAGAGAATGGGAAGAGGCATTTTCTGTGACTCATAAGTGCAGTATGTGCTGAGAGCAGATAGCAGAAAAGGAACACCAAGAAAAACCCTCTGGCATACCAGGCCCTACACAAAGTTCAAGGCAATAGCATTCTACCACTCAAGGAATTTGTAGTCCAGTGGCACAATGAAAGTATCAATAGTTACAACAAAAACCCAAACTAGTCCAACTTCTGACTAGATTGCCTCAAACCCCAATGATAGTGGCCTGACAGAAGATGCTGGGCCCAATTCAGAAGATACATACTACTTAATTCAGCCTGTACCATTCATTTACTTACAATGTCTAAAATTCAATTAAAAAATATAAGATACATAAAAACACAAGGAAAAATGGGCCTTCACAGAAATATAAAGGACTCAATGGGATCAAACCTATGATTGTCCAGGTTTTGGAATTATGAAAAAGGGACTTAAAAATATCTATGACTAATATGTTAAAGTACTTAGTCGAAAAGGTAAACAACATACAAGAGTGGATTTGGGCAGAAAGGTGGATACTACCTACAAAATAAAAAAAAAAAAAAGCACAATGTAAAGTTAAAAATGAAAAACATAGTTTTCACCCAGAGGACTAGATACAGGGGGAAAAAAAATAGTAAGCCTGAAGAAAGGTCAACTAAAATTATCCAGAATGATACACAAAAGGTAAAAAGGAGTGTATTTTAAAAAGACAGATTATTTAAGAGTTTTGTCTGGGATAATGGAAAAGCTCTAGAAATGGATAGTGGTGATGGTTGTACAACATGGTGAATGTACTTTTGAACTGTACACTTAAAAATGGCTAAAAGTAGGCCAGGTGCGGTGGCTCATGCCTATAATCCTAGCACTCTGGGAGGCCGAGCCGGGTGGATCACTCAAGGTCAGGAGTTCGAAACCAGCCTGAGCAAGAGCGAGACCCCGTCTCTACTATAAATAGAAAGATGGCTTGCTCGAGGTCAGGAGTTCGAAACCAGCCTGGCAGAACAGACCGTCTCTACTATAAATAGGATTAATTAATGGTCAACTAATATATTATATATATATATATACTACGTAAATTGCCGCGCATCGGTGGCACATGCCTTACCAGCTACTCGGGAGACTGGCAGCGATGCTTGAGCCCAGCGAGTTTTGAGGTTGCTGTGGTAGGTGATGCCATGGCACTCACCTACCTGGGCAAAAAGTGAGACTTGTCTCAAAAAAAAAAAAAAAAAAAAGAGGCATTGGGTCTTATCCCATAATGTTCTGAAATATCTTTTCTATAAGTACTTTCTAAGAATTTCATCTGTTATCAAGATTAATTAATTAGCATGCAAACAATTTCTATGAGCAAGTCCCAAGTACAAGATAGAGATAACTGAGAGAAGAAATTATGAACAATTTATAAGGTAGGATAAATCATAATAAGTAAACCTTAGGCTTTTTAATGATCCAATCCCAGCTCTGCACTCTAACTATATGACTTTCCGTAAGTGTCTTAGATGATTCATACTCAGAGGACTGATGTGACTGAAATGATGTACCGTAAAGCATTTAACAAAGTGCCTATACATTTACCATTTGTGAATTCTTTATTCATTACGTAATACCTGTAACTTTTACGTCAACTCTGTACCCTTACACTTTTTGAAGGATGTAGGATCCTCTAGTCCCCTGGTGTTACCATATTTTCATCATGTACATGAAACCTACATGAGTAGGATAAGACAAATAAGATAAAATAAAAGAACAGGAGGTGGTGGGAAGCAGTACTTTATGATTATCCAAAGATCAAAATGTTTAGACAAGGTTTAGTCTCTGTTACCTTACAATTGGATTCCCCATCAAGACTGGCTGTAGTGACATAACAGGTTCCATCAGTGGTGCAAGATGATAGAAGAATAAGATCACAGGGAAAGGTTTCATCAGCCTGTACTTCCACTACATCACCAACCTAAAATGGAAAGAAATACAGATATAAATATTTAAAATTCCAAACAAAATATTCATTATACCTCACACTAAAGTCAAAACATTAGCAAAAGATATCTCCAGCTCTGGACTTTGAGAGTATCTTAACATCCTACACCACCTGAAAGGTAATAAAAGAATATTATTCAACATTCAGAATCCTCTTAAAGATCACAAGGACTTAGGATTCTTTCATATTACCTTAGCACTAACCTTTAACTCTAATAAATTGATTCCAACACCTGTTTGCTCTCTGATATTTCTGGCACTAAAGTTTTATAAGAAAACAACCATTATCACTTTATCAATAAATCAAGAAAATCTACATGTCACAAGTTGGGCACTCATGAATACTGAGCAGCTACACTCCCACTCTGCACCATGCATACTTGCACACACTTTGCCTGCCATGTGATAACAACTGATTGCTGGTTGCCAATCCTTCTTCAGTGCTCAGAAAACCTCTGTTAATTAGAAAGGTAAGGCTAGGCGCCATGGCTCATGCCTGTAATCCTAGCGCTCAGGGAGGCCGAGGCGGGTATACACCTGGACTAAAAGACATTTTCAGACATAGATCTCAAAACTTTCATTCTTTCTTAGGAGGCTACCGAACAAAAAGAAAAAAGAAATGTTCCATTGAAAAATAAGGAGAAATGCAAGAATGAGGAAGACAGAGTACAGAATACAGGAATCCGTAGCAGAGACGGTGAGAAATTCCAAATTGATAATGAAGGCCAGTTTCACAGACAACAGATGTATGGCAGGACAAAGAAACAAATGATAAGAGATTGGAACAAAGAGAGAGAGGGCTCCAGGAGGGACAAAATTGACAATGACAGCTTTCTGATGAGTCAAATATTTTACAAGAAAATAGTTGTTTAATTCATGATAAAATTTATTGATTACCATGTTTGGGCATAAACATGGAACCACTTTCCATGAAGCTTTCATTTTAGTATAGAAAGCAAGACAAGAAATAAGCACAATGTATAAATTATTAGAAGGTTATTTTAATATAATTATTAATTATATTTAAATTTATATATTATTAGAAGGTTTATTATAAAGGTATAAAAAAAAAAAACATAAAGCATGGAAAATGGCTTAAAATTGCTCTACGAAGGTGGTGGCGGTTATGATGTGTATGGGTACAGTTCATAAAATAGATGAGGTTTGGGAATCATGGGATGTGATCTTGTAATCCTATCATTGTTGAGGAAGATAACATGTTTATCGACTAGAGAATAGGATATGAATTAGGGAATTAGTCACTTGTCGTATTGTTGGTCTATGACTTGACTTTTGCCTGGCATAAGAGAAGCTGCATACGAGTTCACTTTCAATAAAGATGGAAATATCACGTGGCGTCATAAAATTGTTTCTATTTTTCATGGTTTTCATTACTCCTTCCTTTCAAGAAGTATTTCTAGAGTAAAAGGTCCAGGTTATATGCTGGTTGTCTCCACCCTGGTAATCCCTAAGCTCTGAGCCAGCGGGGTGGGGATTTGCTCGAGGTCCGGGGATTGAACCCATTAGCCTGAGCAAGAGCGAGACCGTCTCTACTATAATATAAGAAACTAATTGGCCAACTAATATATATATTATTTTTTCTTGAAAAAATTAGCCGGGCATGGTGGTCTCATGCTGCAGTCCCGAGCTACATGGGAGGCTGAGGCAGAAGGAATCGCTGAGCCCAGGAGTTGAGGTTGCCTGTGACAGGCTTGACGCACGCACCTTCACTCTAGCCTATGCAACAAAGTGAGCTATTTTCTCGTCTCAAAAAAAAAAAAAAAAAATAAAAAAGTCAGTTAATTATATTTGACAGGTCTTCAAATACAAACTACATGAGTAGATAAGACAAATAAGATAAAATATTGAAAAGAACAGGGAGGTGGAAGCCAGTATTTATGATCTTATCAATAGATCAAATGTTTAGACCAAGTTAGTCTCTTACCTTACAATTCGGAATTATTTATTTTCTGCATCTTACTTCACCAGACAGGGTGCCTGTAGAGTTCCTTTTCTCTATACAATACCTCACAGGTTCCATACCAGTAGGCATTTGTGAGCTTAAATTATTGAGTTCTATGTTGATAGAAGAAACCAAGCCAGTATCACAGGGAATCTGATTACTGGCGCTTCGGCAGACATACTGATGATACCTTCCTCTTATCGATGCTTCTATTCCTTTTTTTTTTTTTTTTGAGACAGAGTCTCACTTTGTTGGCCCAGGCTAAAGAGTGACTAAAGTGCGCGTGGACATACAGCACGTGGCTACACCAGACAACTCAAATACTCTACGGGGCCTCAGACGATCCTACTAGCTCAAGACTCCAAAAAATATTCCATATAACACTAAAATCAAAAATAACACAAGATAATCTCCAACTCTGGACTTTTTGGAGAGTATCAACCATTCCTACACCCACCTTGGAAAGGAATAAAAGAATATATTCAAATTCAGATCCCTAAAGATCCAAGGGGACTAGATCTTCATATCTTTTAGCACTAACCTTTAACATAAATGATTCGCAACACCTGTTTTCCACTCTGATATTTCGGCACTAAAGTTTATAAAAGAAACAACCATTATCACTTCACGCAGTAAATAATCAACTGGGACTGAAAATCTAACACAGGTCACAAAGTGGCGCCGAGCGCGGGGACTCATGAATACTGAGCAGCCTACCACCCAACTCCTGCACATGCATACTGCACACCACTTTGCCCTGCCATCGTGATGCTACGGACACACAAGGGGACTTGTTTTTTGTATATTTCAATCCCTTCAGTTGCTCAAAAGAAAACCTTGTTAATTAAGATATTGTGTTATTGGGTCAATTTAATTGTACATATTGTTAGTGCTTCCGATTAGGACACAGTAAGGGGTTCGCTCAAGGCGCGCTCGATGTTCGGAGACACGTGACCGCTGATCGAGCGAGAGTGCCGCCCGCACTCGAGCCCGTTCCCAGATAGTGCTTAGATTATAGCGTGAGCTACACGAACCAACAGCCGCGCACGACCAAGAACCCCTCTACTCTCATATATGTGGATTTTGAGATTTGTTTTTTCCTGATGATGATATAGTGAATAGTTATGTGCATTTTTCTCATATATATGGTTCAATTTCTAGGAAGTACATTTGTATGTGTAGTCTCAAAAGACATTTCTTTTGAGAAATGCTGTTTCAGATCATTTTAATCTCATTATTTAGTTTTTTTCTGTTGAAATGTTTCAGTTCCTTGTATATTCTGGATATCAATTCCCCTGTCAGATGAGTAGTTGCCAATATTTTCTCCCATTCCTTAGGTTGTCTTTTTTTACTCTGTTGATTTGTTTCTTTGCTGTCCAGAAGCTAAAGTAGGTTGATAATATTCCATTTGTTTATTTTTACTTTTGTTTCCTGGTGATTTTGAGATCTTATTAATAAAATCTTTAATTCCAGACTGATGTCCTGAAGCATTCCCTCTGTTTATTCTTTTTTAGATTAGTTTATTGTTAATTCAGTCTTCATAGTAGGTCTTTGATGCAATTTTGAGTAAGGTTTTTGTTTTAAAGTGAAGAAGAAGTTTCATTCTTCTTAAGCATATATATAATCATTATATCCAATTTTCCAGTAATTAATGATTGGAAAATGTCCCTTCCATTCCAACAGTGAGTGTCTTGGCACCTTTGTCAAAAATCAGTATTTGGCTGTAAATACTGTCGGATTTAATCTGAGTTCTTCTATTCTGTTCATTTGGTCTATTGCATACTGCTTTTACTGCCAGTGCCATGCTGTAATTTGATTATTAAGCTCATGTACATATAATTGGCATTTTGAAGGTCGAGGTTTCCATGTCATGAGGTGGACCCCAATACAGTTTTCGTGTTCGAATATTCTGGAAGGCAGCAGACAGTCTGTATGTCAGGACAGTTGAATGTAGGGGCTGGTGAAGTAGCTACTCGTCGAGGTAGTTATTGGCACTCACTTGCTAAGGCCTTAGTTCCAATACAGAGGAAGATTTTTATACAGGTCCGACCTATAAAAATATAGAATATAAATTCAAATATATATAACAGATAAGAAGAAGAACATGTTGGATGTCCATTATATTTGAATAGGGATTTGCAAATTAGAAAGCTGTGATTCTGCTTTTTTGGTAGTACATTGTCATTTTTATAACAATATTCATCATAATTTCCTTCCCACATTCATACAGTGGGAGATTTGTCTTATAAATTCCTCTTCAGATTCATCATTGATCCATCAGTGTTTTAATACATTTCACAGTTTGGGTCCGTTGGTGGAGGCATCTTGTATCACCCTCTTGGCGAATATGATAAAGTTTATATTATCCTGAAGATATATTAAAACATTATAGAGTATTTAATATTTAATTGAAATAGCTCATATTGAATATAAATGAAGGTGTGACACGCTTGCGATATTTATAGATCTATAATTTTTACAGCTAGTTCATTCGTTTATGATAAAGCTTAGCTATAAACAGGCGACTGATTCTCCTATAAATTAATTCTCATTCTTACTGAATTTAAATTTTTTTGCTTCTAAAATACTGGCTTTTTTATACTCATAAAGTTAGTTATTTTTGCGAGGTTATACAGAGTCGTCTTAAGGATTGGTTTCATATTACGTAAACGATTCCATGGTCATTCTGTCCAACACGGACGGGATGTGAAACCGGGGGCGGAAAGAGAACCCAAATAAAGCATAAGCCAAGTGCAGTAGCATAACAATTTTCTAAGAAATAATTATAACTTGTACCATTATCGACTTCCTCCTTCCATTCTGGTTGTGTTTACTTGTATACTCTATGCTACTTTGCCTATACTCGCATACTGGCTAAAGCACTGAAATATCCTACTATTCTATAGCATCTTTGAAATAGGAATGGTGATTATGAAAGTGGCGATGCAACTTCTCCTTGTTACGCAGCTTTTTCTATTAGCACGCAATGCATTTTTTCATAGTACACTCGC